CATTCAAATTAAAATAGAGTGTATTGGAAAAAGCCTCTCGACTATGACAACAGCAATTACATCATAAGTTGACTTTTGATGTCGTCACTTATTGTATGTAAATAAAATCACTTTAGAAGCAAATTAATCATCTACTTTATTATAAAGATAATACATGGTCTTGATGTAGAACTAGTTTATTTTTAAATAAAATCATTTAGCTGCATCAGGTCTACTATCAAGCTAGCTTGAATTGTCATACTACAATCATGATACAAATTTTTACCACACTGAACAAAAATGACAGCTATACCATTTTGAATTAAAAGTGTACCATGACTTAACGACAATCTGGCCCAGATATCATATTATTATTTTCATCATGAAAATGCTTGAACCATTTGTCTTACTAAGTTGTAATATAGCCCTATGAACTCAGTGAGCTATACATATATTGACAGAAATAAAGAAACTTGAGTTATTTCACATCCACTCAAAAAATCTGCAGAGCTAGTTTACCTACCTGATTACCGTTTATCGGAAAGACAGGATCATGTACCACAAAGCTGTTGTTTGCCACGAACATAAGCGTCACAGAAGGCACTTTGGGAAGATCTTGAGAACTGTTCTAGGAAAAACCACAGAACAATGGCATAAGATACAGACACACACAACTGAGGGAAGTGGGGCCGGGAGATTCTCAAAGCTTATAATTTCATGAAAATTCACCTTGTATTGTAGCAGTACTTCCAAGGAGATCCTGCATAGTTGGTGATTGTTGCATTTACCTGTCTGTCAAACTATCAATGAATGGAAGAGATATCAGCCTACCAGGTATTCAGATAACAAACTCAGATATTGGAATCTAATGAAAAGATGTACCTCCTTTGAAATTTTATCATACACTGCTTCTGGAAGAAATGTAAATGATGTCCCACTGTCAACCAGTGCTTTGAAGCTTGTCTGCTTAAGACAAGAATTTCCAATACAACATGCTTCCACTCCAACAATATAGGTTTCACTGGAACAAACAATTACACAATGGAGATTTCAGCATCTACAAGAATGTTAGCTTAGCAGCATTTAGTAACTGTCGCTTAAAAGTTGTAAATTGAACAGAAGTGCATATATAGTTTTTACTAGTTTCCATTTGAAGGCAGGAAAGATGTAGATTGTTGTGTAGCTGGTCCCTGGTCCCCAAAAAATAGTCTCCCAGAATCATCCTCATGAAAGCACATTGAGAAAGAGTTCTTAGTCAATCCTGCCTTAGCAAGGAAAGTAGGAACTGAAATATCTCCAAGTCCTAAACCCAAAAGACCATCGGGAGCAATCCCATCCAGGTAACCACCACTTTGCTTCATACCACATCTGCATTATGCCAGAAGCAAATTTCTAAATCTTTGCTGGAACCATTTCCGACATTTAGTTCAAAATATTAATGAGGCAAGAAATATCAGCCAAACGCACCCTATGATAACAGGGGCTTCAATAGAAGTGTTTGGCCCATCATCACCGCCAGCTGCAAAGTGTACTATGTCCTCCACAAGAAGTCCAGAACTCGATGTATTTTCTGTGTAGTAGTCAATAGTGTAAGGGCATGACTGCTTGGGACTCTTACAGTTTGTACCAGATTCACATAACTCATGGCTGCAAGATACATGCTTGCTGGTGTTTGAACCCGATGGGTTGTACTCGTTCAAATCTCTATCCTGCATAATAGATGCCCCAAATACGAGGGAGCACCTGCCAATCAATTATTGGAAATAAGTGCTAAACCTGTTACCAAGCCTTAGAAGAGACTAACTTCACTCAAACATAGGCACCCAGCGTCTACTTAACGAAACATTGACCATTAACCAACAACAATTGATGAGTCTGGACCTTCTATATTGAATTCCTCAGATTTCCCGTTCCTTCCTTTTGCCGGTTGGGAGAGAGTGGGCTCAATTCCTCAAGAAAATGCAAAAAATTCTTCTTTTTTCTTTTTTTCTAACATCTTTCTAACAATCTTGGATACACATTAAGTTTCCAGTAGTTCATGGCATAAAAATAAAACGATTAACATAAAATTAAAGCAAAAGAATCATAATTACATAGAAAGGTGGCCTACCAGGGTACTATAGTAAGAGGCAGATAAGGGAGCGCACTGTATGCAGTCACATGGAACCCAAAATAGATCACTCCCAGTATCCAAAGCAACCAGAAACGAAACATTAGGCGTCCCTATATCAATCCACGTATAATGTAACCTAAAATACACACAAAATACATCATCTTTCCACATCATTATGCTTGAAAACAAGAAATTTGAAACGAAGTGAAATGAGGTAAGAAAGAGACGCACCAGCCGAAGTCGTTGCCAAACGACACCGTGTTGCTACCTTCAGAGGGGTAGAGGAACTGGAAGTGGCGACGAGAGCCGAGCTTCATCTTCTGTTTCTGGAAGTCGGTGCTTGCAAGTAGGTGATAGTAGTCCATGGAGTTCCTCTGCGGCCACCGACCTAAGTCCTTGGGGTCTTCTCCGCTTCTCGAAATCCGAAGCGCCTTCGCCTCATCTGAGAAGCGGTGTATGAGCCTCGCGGACAGCGTAAGCGCGCGAGCATTCTGAGGCTCCAGAAGCACGCACGCCAGTAGAAGAAGCACAGAGAGTAGAGATCGAGCCGCCATGGCGACTCCAAGAGAGAAACCTCAGCTTGAGATCTGACGGAAGAGAGAGGAAGAGAAGAGACAGAGAGAGAGACTGAAATGGAGTGAAAGGTAAAGTGGAGGGGAAGAGGACGAGGAAGACGCACAGCTATGGCCTATGGGAAGCTAATTAATTATGATTATTTAGTTAATTAATTGATTTGTTAATTTGTTAATTAAAGTGAGAGGTGAGGAGGTCTTTACGTGTCGCAGACTCGCAGTGTCACAGAAAACGACGTGCTTTGATTGGAGGTGACGCTGTGTGTCTGACACCTGGGATGGGACCGCTGGCTCCTCCTCCATGCTCTTTTTGTTTTCTTTTTTAATTTTACAATTTAATATGTACTTATTTATTTGGAGTTTGTTTTCCTCTTCAGATTCAGAAAATATAGGAAGAGACCCTTTGTTGTCTTTTTTTTTTTTTTTTTTTTTGTTGTCAGAAGGGAAAGATGTGACTACTTATATTATTACAATACATACATTTGCAAGAGATATGTAGTTTAGGTGGCTTAGGATGCTCAGAGTAGTTATATGATGAGAAGGGGGGTGCCAATTTCGGGTACGATCCGTTACACGACTCAAAATCAGTATGAAAATTTAGCGGGTTCAACTCGCACGATTAAAATTTGAGTTATTTTCGATCAACCAGTCATGATTCGTTTAATAAACAAGTGGGTTTCAGGTCAACCCGCTAACCTGCTAAAATACCTATGTAACTCGCCAACCTGCTAAAATATCCATGTAACCCTCCAACCCACTAACCCGTTTATTTATTTATTCTTCATTTTTCTAATTTTTTTTATAATATCTTTTAGTTGCTACCACTTAGCGAGTCAACCCGAAACCCGCACAAGAACTTAATGGGTCAACTCGTTCACGACGCATTTATTAAACAGGTTGGGTTTGAGTTGAGCATTCCTAACACGTATATATATAATCTTTACACGGCACGAACCCAACACGACACAACTCATTGTCAGCCCTAAGGGGAACGAACTTTGGACATTAGATACAAGGACAAATGTTTAAACTTGTTTATAAGCCCTTTGCAAGGAGAGAGATTTCCATGAAAAGAGGATAATACTATATTTGTTATTCATGATCAATAACGCTATGACAGCGTGATAACACTTTCACATGAAATAGCATTATTTGTCGGAGATAGCAAAACAGTAATATCCCAATTGTAACTAAGTTTTTCTCCCATGCAAAGATTCAATTCTTGAATCAATCTACTTCAGAACTCCAGTTTTAGTCACTTCGCAAAATGTACAAGTACAAAGAGTTACGAAGATGACCTTTACAAACTGAAATTGCAGCTAATATGGCTCACATGGTAAGCCATCAAGTCTCAGACTCATTAAAAACCTAATGGCTCACATGGTTATTTGAAGCTCTCCATAAATAACTTGTATGTCATAAGGTAGAATAATAATTTTGAAATACTGACTCTTCTTTATATCAATGGAGCTGCCAAATTTTGGTCATTTCTTAGAATTGGGGCTCCAGGTTTTTAAAGCTTCCTCCTTCTTGTGATTGTGAGTAGCCAGTTTAGATGATAATATGATATACATTTTATTTTATTTTTTTTATACAAACGATATTCTACTTTAACTTTAATCTAATTTAAACAAAAAATGATATTCTACTTTAATCTAATTTAAACAAAAAACGATATTCTACTTTAATCTAATTTAAACTATGGAGAAGGAAGCAGCTTAGATGATATTTTTTGTTAGGCTTGCCCGGTCCTGTGTTTAGCCTTCAGCCCATTTTTATTTTTATTATTTATTATTATTACATTGAAAGAAAGAAATCGAACCATTCCCTTATCATAATCTTTCCTAATGAAACTTTGATTGATGAAACAATGGAGACCACATGCCATGACTTTACAAGACCACATTCCATGTGGATCCACAAAGAGAAATAATCTTTTTAACACATAATACTTGGACCTTAGTCCTTTGTCGAGATGGAGGAAAATACAAGAAGATAAAGTGAACAAATCATTAATCATTACTATTTATTATCCATTAAATAATACATCAACATATGAACTAGCCCAAAACCCATAAACAACTTCATTATTCCTCTAACATTGACAAAGCACACAAGAAAGTTACATCTTTCCCACAGGTCATAAAAGAATACATTCACAAATGACTACTTACTGGACTGTTGACAAAAATCAAAATCTTTGGGATATTATGTACATTGACATGACAAATAATCCAGAATGAAAAGAAAGAAGAAAAAAATGAATCCCTTTTTGAAAAAGTTCTCCTCTAATAATTCAATTTTCAGAAGAATAACAAAAACTCCATATGGGGTTGTTACTTGTTAGACCACTGGAACTCTATTTCTAAATTCCGTGAAGGCCCACTTTTGCTTTCTGGCAACAGAGTGTACTCACCGGCAACGGCTCCCAGCATTACTACCCGATCAATCTGGATGGTAACTTTTCCGAATGAACTCTGTCAATATATCAAAAGATAATTGGTTACCAGTTACTAGGTAGAACAAGAATAAAGGATCAGCTGAGAAAATATATCCTGTTATTATAAGAAAAGTGTCTATGTTGGCCATTTCTTTGTTCACTTACCTTTCCCATTTTGCTCTTGTTCTTGCAAGATATGTGGAGCTTCTGGCCTTTCGGGGGACTCTCAAAGGACCACGAAAAGGTTTCATCCCATTCTGGATTAGGGCCAGTTGAAACAACCTGAAAAGTTCAGAAATTCATGGTGAGAAGTTAACACCGATATCAGGCCAAATACCACTGCAGACACAGAAGAGACAATGTGCATAACTATCTCCCAAAAAATACAATCAATATGTTTCCAGTAAACATAACCTATCCACATAATTTCAATAATTCTGTTGTTCTTGCAATAATTGCAGAAGATACTATGTTTAATATACAGTACATGCCCCACAAATTCAACCAAGATCCTAATCCTAATCCTCAACCAATCAGGAAGACTATTCAAATTAACAACCAGGAAAAATTGATGGACGAAAACTAATTATCTTATTAAATCCCCAAGTTCTAATTCTAAGAATAAATAAAATAAACTTAATTTCTTCTTGAATACGCATTGTAAAGACTGGCTGCAGTCTTGCATTCATGATGACATAATCAAGCGTGGCACTCAAATGAATGATGAATTCAGAAGAAGATTATCCAAAAGAAGATTCAAATCTCTTAAGAATAGGAAAGAAAAGGTAGCAGAAAGCACATTTAAGGCATTTTACCTTAGTTTGCTTAGGTGGAGTGTTGCCAAGTGTAATCTTGCAATAAACACTAGGGTTTCCCACTGACTGTTTCATATTATTTCCACGTTTGATTATGACCACCAGTGTCCCTGGCAAACATTGTAACAAAAATTCTGTCTTCTCCTGAAACCGAGGTGGGCCGGACTGAATTAAGTATTGCAGCAAGGGAATCGCATCGGCTGCAGCAATTGACTGAGCCCTAGAAACTTCCGCGGGGCATGCCGACCAGGCTTGCCTAAGAAGAAAGAGTGCATCCAAGGCAGCTTCTTGAGTTGCCTCTGACCCTGTCTTGAGGGATGTAACAAGATGAGGAATGCTTAGCGTTGCAGGTTCCGTGGCTCTAAGACGTGGGAAATTGCTAAAAAGAGAATTCAGAGCTTTCAGATACTCGTCATTCACAGTTCCAGTTGCCCATAAATCCTTTTCGATAGCAGCTATGACAAGACAAAAATCTTATTAGATTCTTTTTTAAAAATGGAAAAAGAAATTGGCTTCAGTGATGATCGACCTAGGGGTTCTACTATCTCAGACATTGTATATCACCATTTAAAAAGAGAACTTACCAGTAATGGCCCTTACTGTCTCACTAGAAGCATACTCTTGAATGGTATTATTTGAAAAGAGAAGTTTAACAAACATTGCAGCCTGAATGGACGTTTCTGGATCACTTGAACCAATCAGATCCAACACAACCTGAACACCACCAGCCTCAGCAACGGCTCTTTTATTGGACCGACTGTACATCACAAGGTTTTGCAAAGCACATATCGCTACAACTTTCATTTCTTCAGTAGGTTGGTCTTCAAGCACATTTACTAGTGCACGACAAGCAGATACAGCGTCAGCACTTCGAGCAAGGCCTTCATTCTGGAAGAGATCACCAAGAGCTAGAGTTGCTAGCAACCTCGCTTGCTGAGCTTGGGTTTGTGGATCCAAGAGGTACTGAGACAATGGTACTATGGCAGACTTGGTAGCCTTAGTTTCTCTGATCTTCACATTGTTCAACAATACTTCCAACAGCCTTGCAGCAGTTTCCTCACACTGATGAGATCTGAGAAGTTCCAAAAGAGCCTCTAAAGCACCACTTTCAGCCATTGCTTCTGCGCTGGTTGCATCATCACTTTCCAGTACCAGAAGAGCATTCAATGCACCAACTACTGTGCTTTCTGAGCCAGAACGAAGCAACCTTACCAACACAGCAACAGGCACTTCCAAATAAAATTCAGAACTAAACTGCAGAATACTTGATAAAACGGAAGCAGCCGATTCCCACAAAGCATGAGGAAGAGATGGATCTGATTGCAATATCACCTTGGACAGTTCAGTGACACCACCCTCTTTAGCAATTTCATTTGGCCATATTAGCGCAATACTAACAAGGGCCTTCACAGCTCTCTGCTGCAATATGTGTATACCAGAGCCAAGAACCCGTATGAGAGGACCAATCACTTGCTGAGTCACTGAATCCTTTTGAAGTTGTTCTTCAAAGAGTAAATGTGATAGAAGCTCAGCAGCCAACTGTTGTACTGCAGGAGCAGGAGAATCAAGCAGGGGGATAATTGGTTCAATAGCTTGGTGGGATGTCAACCTATAGTCAGAACGACACTGTGGATGCTCCAAAATGTTGACAAGAACCTGTAGTGCACTATGCTGCCCGTCAGGTCCAAATTCTGGTCTTGTTAGCAGCATAAAAAGGGGCTCAACAACTTTTGAAGCAGACGGTCCCTTAGCAATGCTTGCATTGTTGGTCAATATTCGGAGCAGTTCTGCAAAAGCAGCACAGAGAAAATCGGGTGCCTCATGGAGGATGTCAAGTATGCTCTCAATCACTCCAGCTTTCACCATTTCCATCTTACAAGCAGGCCTGTCTTTCCCTAACTTCACAAGGGCTCTGGAAATAGCTTCGTGGAGCAAGTAATTCTTACCATAGAGGAGGCCAACAAGAGGAACAACTGCACCATGAGCAGCAACAAGCTCTGCAAGTTGCTCATCATCAACAAGTTTATCCAACGCTCGGACAACTGAATGCTGCGCAGGACTGAACTCAGTAACAAGAAGAGACACCAGAGGCTCCACACATCGAGCTGCAGCCATTGTCGACCTGATTCTTGTATTTCCAAACAGAACACAACACAACTCGGCAGCATCCCCTTTCAGCTCCATTGAGCAATTTGATGAAAGAATCTTGCAAAGAACATCTACTGCATTCATTTCAACATCTGCAACTGCTAAGGCTCTTGATGGATTTTCACTCAGCAACCTCACCAACGCAGCAATTGCAGCATGCTGCTCCCTCTCAGAACCAGTATTAAGAATCTCCACCAAGGGTTGAACGGCTTGCCGAGCACTTTCTGCATTCCTTATATGATCAGCAGAAAATAAGCTTTCCAATGCTTTAGCAGCACTATACCTGGAAGCTCTTCCGCCTAACCGTAAAACTGCCACAAGTTGACTGACAGCACCAAATGAAGAGTCGTGTCTCCTTATCTCAGCACTGCCAAATAGTATACCTAACAGATCTGTAGCAGCTTCCTCAGTTGCATCTTGAGGACCAAGTGAGAGATACCTAGTCAGTGCTTCCAAAGCTCCTGATTCTACCATTACAATCTTATTTGACGGACAGTCCTTTGCAAGTTGAGTCAGAAGACCAAGTGCTAAAAATGGTGCTCCAGGACGATCTGGAATTGGTTTGAGAAGATCAACAAGTGCAGGTATTGCTTTTCTAGAAGTAGCACCAACTCTTATGTCTTCAACTCTGAACAACCTCTCAAGAGCAACCTGCTCAGGATAACGCACTAAACCAAACTCTTCTGACAACTGCAAAAGATCATTTATATCAACATCGGCACAGCCAAGTAGGGAAATGAGCCCGCCTGCTGCTCCAGAATTTGCAACAGATAAAAGAGTACCCCTGCTACCATTACAGACTAGGCTGGCCATTGCCTGAGCAGCAAAATATCTGGTGGTCAACTCCTCTGACCTCAACCAGTTTGCAAGTACTGGTATAGATTTCATGGTTGCGTGTGCTCGTATGATATCTCTATTTTGAAATAAGATTGCCAGCAGCAAAGTATAAATCCATATGCTACTATCTTCTTTAAACTCAATCTGCATAAATTACACCAAGGACCATTCCAGGTTAGATGATTAGACTATAAACCCAATATTTGATGGATAGAGAACAATAAATTTATATTATGGATCAGTGTATATAGAAATTCAGAATTGGTCAAATGTATCTCGATCTTCTTCCTTATTGAATGAAAACATAAAGCGGAATAAGAGAGCTACCTGAGAGTAGTGTGAAAAACAATTTGAGATCCTGTCTGTGAGAACTTCCACCGCCCCAGCCTCCATAATCACAATTTTGCACCTTTCATCATGACAGGCGAGAACAGACAGAAGCCACATAACTAAATTAACACCATAAATAACTCCTGTGGTTGAATTAGATTCATCATTCTTTGTTACTTCTTTACTACGCCTATAAATGCTAATGGAGTCATTGTCATCATCCCCTGGGTTTCCCAAAGAAGTAAGCATTGCAACAAGAGATTGAATGAGATGGGTACATAAGTTTGATTCGCTAAGATCTTCCGTAACCTTCTGATGACTAACTTTTGCAGCACAAATAAGGAGTGCAGTTCCTCCAATTTTAACCTTTGATTTAGTTGAATTGATCACCCTTTTAGTGATTGATGATATACATCCAGAGGCAGTAGCAACTGTGTCCCCCAATACATCAGGCTGATCTCTGCAAAGTCGGGATAATATTTCAATAGCTTTATCCTGCAACAAGGGTGCTGCATCAGCAATGGATAAAACTATTGGGGTTATGCTTTTCGGGAATTCAGCTAAAACTGCCCATGCAGGTTTTGTTTCTCCAGTAGCTCCTTCTGATCTGGACAGAATAGCAAGTGCCTCGAGTGCCTCTGACGTGGCAACAGATGCATGAACAGATTCTAGAAAAGAAACTAGTGCAAGAACGGTTCCAGCACGATTGACACAATCGGTTAAAGCATAATCAATTTGACGAGAATGGAGCAGGCGAGCAATTGCTGCTGCTGCATGGGTCTTTCCAGATACCGAGCCTTCACGCAAAACTCTAGTAGCTGGGAAAATGATTTCTTCAGCAACTGCTTTCTCTGAAACTTCACTATCCAAAATAAGATTAGCCAAAGCACATGTTGCTAGTTCTGCAACTTCCAGAACTGAAGAGTTAGCAAGCACAACTAACGGAGATAATACATCTCGAGCAACAGCAGCCACATCCCGGTTCTCTTTAATTGAAAGAAATATTGCTGCAAGGCAACGTGAGGCCTCTGCAAGGATACTTACAGATTCAACACTAATCAACTTAATGGCTGACCAAAGAGTTTTAACAGCAATGCTACTTTCACGCAAGTCCTTCCTATATTCAAAGATTCCAGCTAAAGCTGATGCAGACTTGGCTTGAGTCTCTTCTTTAGTTGAGCTCAAAATTTTTATCATTGTCTCAATTGCATCATTAGCAGCACTACCTTCACGTGATATATCATTGAGGGGGACCACCGACAGCATACTTTTCAGAGCATCCAAGACATACACTTTAGATTCAGGTAGATCACTGGTTAATAATGCAGTAAGTTGGCTGATAGTTGCTGTATCAGATTTATGGATTAAATGATTTAAAGTCTTCGCTGCAATTTCTTTTCCATTTGGGCTTCCATTCTTCAGAAGCCATAATAATGCAGGAACAGCATCAGCACTTTCGACACATGCACGTATATCTTCACTGTGATTGCATAGGTTCCTAAGGATTGATGCTGAATCTTCCTTGGCTTTTGCAGATCCCGTCTCTAGAATCTGAACCAGTGGAGGTATGCCACCAGCAGCAGTAATAGCCCATTTACTTTCGTCATTCTCATTAGAAAGCAGGCAAAGCAGTGCAACTGCACATTCTTGCTGCTGTTCTGATGAAAGCCCAAGAAGTGATATCAACAGCTGAACCCCTTCACGGCCTTGAAGCGCACGCCAGAGACTTTCTTCACTATTGCAAAGTGTAAGAAGAGCTCTCATAAGCTCATCCTGAACTTCATTTGTAGCCATTGTGATCAAACCAACAAGCAAACGTTTTGCTTCTGAATTAGAGAGTTTAGTTGAGAGTACGGAATTCCCATACAAACTTGCAAGGGCCTCTATGGTTCTTTCCTGAACAAGAAATGGTAAACGAGGTTTGAATTGTGAAACCAAAGTCTGCTCAATAACCACAGGATCTGATGCTCTATTAGATTCTGCTGTACTATCATATATCATAAGAGCTGAAGCTAAAGCCCCTAATGTATCAGCAATTTGGGCAGGTGAAGAGCAAGATTCAAGGCTTTGACCAAGGCTTGAGATCACATATGACAAACCACCAGAAATATTTGCTAAAGCACACATAGCATTCTCCTGCAACGCTTGGGCATACTCGCCCTGCATGAATTCTTTTGAAGGGGCTATTGTAGCATTTATCAACACAGGAATACCATTGAAATTAGCTATTTCCCGCCTTGCTTCTTTGCACTGGGAAGAAAGAGATTTTAGAGCACCTGCTGCTTCTGCTCTAACACAAGCTTCATTGCCAGACCCCAAAAGCTTGAGAAGTTGCTTTGTAGCCTCTGAAGCCAGCACCTTAGAACAAACAGATGCATCTTCCATCATCATACATGCAAGAAGAAAGCACACGTTAGCTTGAGTGTTTGGCTGTCCAGTCGAAAGCAACTTCACAAGTGCATCCACTCCTCCAGCTTGAAAGGTTGCAGTCCAGAATCCCTCCGTGCTGCTGGATAGGTTCTTTAATGCTCCAGTCAACAAGCTATCAACCAAGCTACCAGTCTTGATCCCTTTTTGCAGCTGCTCCCAAAGCACTGGCACAACTCCTTCAGTTGAAAATATTTTTGATCCAACATGATCCCTAGCACCACCTTGAGAAACAGCATAAATTGTTTTTGCAGCTGCAATTTGCCCTTCTGCCGAGCTGGACCTGAGTAGACCAAGCAATGGTGGAATACATCCTCCAAGCAAGACCTTCACCCTTAGTTCATTCTCCTTACAGAGAGAGCCTAAAACAGTAGCAGCTTGTATCTTAACTCCAACTGAACCTGATCGAAGAAGAGAAACAAGTACTGGAACTGCTTGAGAGTGAGATCCAACAGCACTGAAAGCATTTTCACGAGTATCAATAAGCTCAAGCAACTGCTTCAACGAATATTCCTTCTCTTGTACAGATGAGGAACTTTGACGCAGCTGCTCAATGCATTGAGCAACACTTGCCAATGTCCCATCTGCATCCTCCATGCTACTACGATCCCTGTCAGAAAATTTAGAACAACAGATAATTTAGGCAGAATTATCCTTTTTATATATTATTATTATAAGAAACATAGCTTATATAACTAAAAGAAAATACAACACAGGGGACAAGGTGTCCCCTACAAACATCAATTAGTCTACATCTAAAACAAGAAAAAACAACAAAACAGAATTACAAGGCAACATCATCCTAATACGAATCATAGCATGAAAAGGCAAACCCCTAACCTCAGAGGAAATAACTGATGGTAAAACTTAATATTTCAAATTGACAATCTTTAGCCCAACTTGATTTTGGTGAAACTTAATATGGTTTCTAGTCAACATTGACAATGCATATGCTCAGTAAGTTCTCTATCAAATATTTGTTTTTTTTAGATTAAGGAAAAAGAAAATAAAGATACCCTGGGATTAAGACAATGTCTAGTTTCAAGTTGAAGGCAGAATGAAGAGTATCAGTATGAGTGAGACAGCAAGTAGAGGCATTAAAGTACGCAAGGAGATTACCACCAAATAAGAACATAATTCCATGAGAGTAGACAAGCAGACACTTGCTCACAGAAAGAAAAATGCCCACCAGCATAATCTACAAGAGCCTTAATGATTACCAAGTGGCAAACAAATTCCAAGATGCAGACAAAAATAATTCTACCAAACAGCACAAAGAATTTGTAGAAACAAATTTTAACTCACCTTGAACCCATTTTTATAATAGAATGTGGTGTTGGAGGCTCTGAATCTTGAACTTTTGCATCACCATTTCTTTCCTGTAATCATAAGAATGAAAGCAAAAATCCATTATCAGTTTTCATATTATCTAAAAAATGAATCCAGTTTTCATATTATCTAAAAAATGAATCCATCTCCTCTCCTTTTTCTTAATTTTTTCATCACTTGGTCCATTGTGAGTTGCATTTTAACATCAAAGCCTGAACAAATATTTAAGGGGGATAACACAATTTTCAGAATATCATTTACCAATTCGATTACACATTTAAATTTTCCCAAACTCCCAGAAATGCATCCCTGAAACACTTAATTTCAGCGTAACATAGATTGTCTATCTATTGAAACAAGAACAGGATAAATGTGATCTAGTGCGTCCCCCCCAGTATTCATAAGAGGCACATGAAACTTTCAGTATCTTAATTATACTCTTTCAACTGGATTTATAATCTACAATCTCAAATTACGATTCAAGAACAAAAAAAGGAAGAGAAAAGAAGAAGAAGAAGAAGAAAAAGAGAACCATATAAGAAATGAAACAAAAATGACAAAGGAAAGTACCAGATCATTAGTGGCAAGGGTGCTGCCATTGCTGGCAGCAAACCTCCAACCCAGTGTGGTTGCCAGCTTTGCTACTCTTCAAGATTCAAAGAACAAATCAATGAAGAGACCTTGCCCTTCTCCAGATCTAACTCACAGCCTCCTGTCAAACACAATTGCAGACCAGATTACACACAAACCAATTTCCAATCTACAAATCTTTCCCGGAAAAGAAAAAAGAAAAACTGAAGCATTGACTTAAGTGGGCTAGTGAAGCTCAATTCAATTCAGATAACACTTGTTCCTCACTTGCATTTCTACAAAGTGGGCTATTTGGGCACAGAACAAAGGAACAGATCAAAGACAACTCACAGAAATTGGACAAGATCGAATCAAGTCCCGAGCTTGTCAGTGGGTAGTCAAAATGTGAAACTGAAAAATGCAACCCAATTCATATTTTTGTATGTGTGTGTGAAATTGTAGTGCAGAATCTGAAGAATGCAACAAAAGTGTTGACCTCAGATTTGGAAGAAATTACAATCAATTGGGTCAGAAGAAGAACCAATGCAAATGAGAGAGAGAGACACAGAGAGAGAGAGAGATGGGTGAGCTCACCTTGAGAGAGTGAGAGATGGGGAAGCTGTTTGGTGCATCAATTCAATTGGGTTTCGTAAAAGACAAGGGAAGAGAGCATCAAGAGCAAGAACACCACAACTACAACAACCAACAGCTACAAGCAACAAAGAAGCTAAAATAAAATGAAAAAGCCTCACAATCAGACACAGATTGATATAATTTTCCCTTTTTTATTTTTCTCTTTTCTTTTTTCTTCTTTTGGTGCTTTTTTAAAAAATAAATTTTATTTCTTTTTTGTTTGTTGGACGAGTTTTACGTTTCCATAGATACTCTCTCCAGCCAGAGAGCGAGTGAGAGAGAGAGGGTGTGGGACAGACAGCCGCACCGTCACAGCCTAATAAGACCACCGACAATTTGCAGCGTAAAAGGCTTTCATGGCTTGGCTTCGGCTTTTTTTGGAGCTCCAACTAAGATTTTAACATTTTTTTTTCTTTTTATTTTCACCATTTCGTCTACAAAGCGAAAAGAAATTTTTAGAAACACAATAAATACAAAAATAATAATTTTATTGATAGTCCAAAAAAAAGGAATTTTTGAACTGCAATAACAACTTCCAAAAAAATTACCTCTAAATTTCATATAAATATTTTAGGAACAAAATTTTTGGCAATTTGAATTTAAGCTATTATGAAAAACAATATATAAGTTTTGTGAAATTGTGCAGAAGAAAATGTTAGAAAGGAATTAATGAAATTATCACATGAGATTTATGCAATTTGTCGTAAATGCATAATTTTTTGGCAATAATTCTAAATATTAATTTTCGAAAATAATACTTTTGGGAGAATATAATACCGCATGGAATATCAAGAGATTCATACCATATGGAAAATAATAAAAAAAGGTAGAAGGTCGGCTCAATATCTTAAGCCGAGCCAAGCCAGATGGAAAATCAAGAGATTCATCCTAGCTCCCTCTCTTGTTGATACTCTTTCTCTTTCTTAGTTGGCTGGAAATTATGTGTGCAACTTATTATTTTATCAATAAAAGGCAATTAGTGGCATTGGCATAGCCAAGTAAGATACACCTAATAAGGATACAACTATAACTAATTAATATTCAACCATTTTTATTTTCTGTGCTAAGCTAACTGAAAACTCAGCATTTTGGCATACTAGCTGGACTTTCCTTATGTACCACATGCCTTGTGCAAGCGATAGTCTAAAATTAGACGAAGAGGGGATTTCTCACACACACACACACTACCACGGTGCCATGGAGGTTCGAACAAGAGATCAATAATCTGCAAGTCAAGACTCCTTTCCATTGAGCTAGACTCTATTGGCATAAATTATCCATAGCCTACCTCATAGTAAAAAATAAACAATAAAAAATTAGAAAAATCCAGTTTTATTTTTATCTGCCAATTTACCCAACCATTTGAGCCCTACAAATACCCCATTTACTAAGCTTTTTCACAACCTTCATCATTCCAGCCAGAATCTGGTAAGTCAGGACTTGAAAACTAGTTGGGTATTGATTGTAGCAATCAATTAATTGAGTAGACAGCAGGACCTTGTGTAAATCCAAAGTGAAAGCATGGAAGTCTTCTTTAAAAAAATTCTAAATCAAATAATTCCTCTTGTCTGTTAGCATTTTCTTGTAGGACCTGGGATAATGATTGAGACCCAGTACCATTACCAGCTGCCAAATTTGTGGAAAAGATGAAAACCAAAACAGGCTGCAATTGCAATACATGGGCAGTCTTGTGGTAAAAGCTGAAATGGAAGAATTTCATTTCCGCTACTTGACTAATGGCTCGCTACATGGATGTCGTCCGTAATTTAATAATATGAACGTCACAGCATGCCTCGATGTTATTAGTACCGGAACAAGCCACCCTAATTAGAAGTGAGTAGTGACAATTTCCTTCATTACCAAAAAAAAGAAACCAGAGGAGCAACTAGTTGTTGATCATGTAGATAAATATTTTTGTGAGTGGCAGTGGAGCCCATGGGTGAGGGCCATGTTCTTGTCATTTTTTTAATGTAAAAAGGTTTTCATGAGTTGATTTCTCACCAATTATGATTAAGATTGATAACTCTCGGACTAACAAACGAATCAATGATTTATAGATTGTAATTTGCAACCACGTCATCTTCGCTGTCAAGTGATACACAATTTGCAATCAGCAAGTTTCCAATTGTCGGACGCGGATGTTTCTTCATGTGTAATGCTGCGGGTAAGTTTGGAATGTGACATTTGCACTAAGTTTATTTATTAATTAATAATTTTCAGGCACATGCGTGTTTCTTGAATTTTGACAATTTTTTCAAATAAAAAAAGTTGCAGAAAATTAATATCATTTTTAAGAACATAAAATTTTCGACCGAAAAAAGAACTCAAAATTTCTTACTTGGTAAGAGAATCAATATGTAGAAATTAAATATAAAAAATTATGAGAAAATTAAATGTCAATAGTACCTCTAAAATTGCCATTACACACAACTACGGCCAAAAGTTCGATTTTTTTTTTTTATAAATATTTTAAAACTATGGCCATCAATTGTCAGGACGCTTGGCAGTACCATACGAATTAGGAACGGACTTAGTTTAGATAATTGAATTGAGAGACCGTAATCGCCCATCGAATTGACCAAAATTAGTGGAGGAAAATTTGATTTTGACTTCGACCACATGCAATTTACCTAACAAACGGTTTAGTGCTGGTCGATTTATTGATGGGATAAATAGAAAAGTAAATCTTGAGAGGAGGCTCAAAAGAGACTCGCATGTCATGGGGATAATATTGTTTTGTTATTTCCATCTAATCATGTTCTGTCATGTAGAATCCTTATCACTTGTGACAAAACATGATTGGTTAAAAATGGCAAAACAGTGTTATTCCTGTGATATACAAGTTTTTCTCGACTTAGAGAAGGAAGAGTGTTGAGGTGAAGCTTGGGTGAGATGTGCAATGTGCATGCTATTTATCTTGTGGCACGAAGGCTTGTCGTTGTCTTGAGTAATGAATCGGATAAACCATAAGAATGTCACCTTAACTTATACACAAGCTTCAATTTTTCACCAAAAAGAAAATCATTATGTCACTTGACACCAATTCCGTTAATATATATATATATATTTTTAATATAAATGATATTTTAAACTACAAGAGGAGGAGGTTTCTCACACACACACACACACTACCAGAGTGTCATTAAAGTTCAAACCTGATATCACTAGTCTGCAAGTCAATGTCCTTATCCACTAGGCTAGACCTTGTCGAAATATGTATTAAAAGTAATGTGTCATGCATATGCCTGACTTAAAATAATAATGGTAACAAAAAGGCTTAAATGCGAAAATAGTCCCTGTGTTACATCATGGTGGCCAATTTAGTCACTGTGTTCTGAAGCAGTGCTACAGCCTATAATGCCATTATAGCATGCAAAATTCTTTTGCAGCATTTGAAACAATATGCCACTCAAGAGGGTAATAGATAATCTACTCAAGCTGAAGACGGAAAAATACAATTGCTCAGAAACTTCCCATGACATTAACGCCCCCCCAAAAAAATTAAGTGACATTTTCAATCATAATGTCGGTAACACATTATGATTTGTTTGTTTACATCAGAACCAGGCAATTATCGGGAGCTACAACACTAGGCCAAAGAACCTTTATGTAGATCAATTATGCAGCCTCAGTATGCGTACTCAAGAAGTGGATTTTATGTGACACTGATAGAAGTAGCATATGATTGGAGAAGTGTAAGAGCTTGGTCTGTGATAGCCCTATTCCTAGCACGCTTCACCCATTCGCGCACTACTTCTGTTGCTTGGGTGCCTTTCACACCTTCTTCAAGTGCCTCTGCTGCTTCAGCTATTTTCCCGTCAGCAAGGCAGGACTCCACCTTGTTGATGATGGATTCAATTCCATCCCCAGATTGATCAACTTCCTTTACCTAGACAAAATCCCAAAAACAAATACAACGAACATTCCAATAAGTTAATTTATACTAGTGATTTAGAATGGAAAACACAGGCCGCATATCTACTTACCTTCAACCAGGATGCTATATGTGCCAAGGAATGTGCCAAAATGCCGCCACCACCAAGAGGGATTAAGCTGAGGTGCCGTACTGTCCCTTTCAAGGCATCAAACTGCAAGAAGAATGAAGTTAGCACAGCACTGAGTATTACCCTACTTACTAGGATTTCAAGAATTAACAATTCAGAACTTGAAGCACTCAACTATTCTCATTTCATACTAAGGATTTCCATAATTCTTGTATCTGCAGCAAGTTGAATTAATACCTCATATTTTTCATATGGATACTCATTAACTCACGAAATGGCTCGCACTGAACCTGTATCCTTTATGCATTTATTAAGGAAGTCGCTAAACCAAAATTTTGAATATCTCAACCAAATAGAAGACTGATGATCAAACAAACATTTGAGAATACTTGAAATGTTAGTCAATACGTCCTTAATGAAGCATATTAAATTTAATGTTACATGTTTTTACAACCAAAAAGTATGCACAAGATAGGGAGAGGGAAATTAGAAACAAGGCTTCAGTTTGTCCAGGACAAAGGGAAAAGGAGTAAAAAGGTTTCCAAATTCCGAGCATATGAAGCGGTGCATTTCAGTCAGCATGATAAAACCATTTAAGGTGAAATACTAAAGAGATCCTAGTAAACAATAACTATTTAAGAATATCAGCCCCAATTAAGTCCTATAGGCATGTCTTAAAAATGACAAATGGGGCAACTGCCACCCTTTCTAATAAATGAACAAATGAGTAGACAGAATCTCATCAACAGTTCTGAATGCTTATATACAGAACAATTCAACCCAAAAATCTAATCAGACATCTTTCATGCAGTAGTAACATAGAATATGTTACGTATCCATAACCAGTTGCTCTATGTATGACTTCTGAGGCAACTCTTGAGCACAATTTTAACAACTTTATGTCGAAAAACTTAGATATGCATGAATTACTAGCAGGTCAACGTTGGGCATGCAAACTATCTAGGAGGAATATTATTCCTCCCGTCAACTATATAAAGCAGTAAAGTCAATGTCTTGGCCATTAATTAGAGCGGACCAAAGCAAAGTTCAATCATAAAAGTAAAAAGTTACAGAAGGATGTTAATAGTTGACAGCATGAGAAGGGTGAGTCCATTAGCAAATATTTAATGAAGAAGTAAGAAAATAACTAACCTTCTGATTCAATTGCAGCAAGGTATCTGTGCCATTCCTTCGTGTTTCCTCAGGAAGAGATGATAGGACCAAATCTAAAATTGAATCTTTATCAATGCCTTCAAGATAAGTGTGCAAAGCCTCTATTTCTGTCTGGATTGGTAATCCTTTTGAAAGTGCATCTTCTAGTGCAAGTGCGCCCTGCAAAGAACAACAAAACATATCATTGTTAAGAAGTAACTTACAGGCTTAGAAAATCACTGATGAGAGTATTAACACATTAAGTTATCTTCTAAATAAAAAGTTGGAAGTCAATGAAAAGAATGAAAAGAATAATAATATTCACCAAAGCAAGCTTGTGAGCAGAGTGAGTCTGACGAGCTTCTTCAGATCTTGCATAGAATGCCACACACAAGGCATTTATCTACAAAAAGAACTTAAACATCAGATTTCGTAATGGATCAATTAGACAAGCATTATTAGGGACATTAATACAGACAAACGTACCATGCACCACCCAACATAGAACTATTTAAGCAAGATTCATCAGTTATTATCACAAAGCTGTATAAAATTGAAGTCTACATGCCTTAACACTCTGAACAGGTCATATGTGGACCATTAAGTATGACTTCATTTACAAAACTTTGACATACAGATATACAGTTAATTCACTTTTTGACATACAGAGGCTTATAATCTAGAAAAAGCAAGCAAAACTACAAGCACATTTATATATCTAGAGCAGTTTACACCATTTAATGTGGCCTGCAAAACTGGAGTTACATTTCCTTCATGTTGGACATGGGCAAAATGGATCTACAAAAAAATAAAAAATTTGCATCCCAGCATCTATCACCCTCCTCATTGTTTTTTCCTTTCCTAAACTACAAAGTTCAAGTAACCACTAACATAATTACGACGGATTGTATTTGACTGCTTGAATGGGGTGGGAATTTACATCACATATGGGTGAAATGAGTTCATTTTCTGAGCAATACTCTATTAAGCAACTGTTATAAGCAACACAACGAAGCATCCCCACCTCTATTTTTCTGGTTAATGAGTTCATTTTCTGAGCAATACTCTATTAAGCAACTGTTATAAGCAACACAACGAAGCATCCCGCAACACAACGAAGCATCCCCACCTCTATTTTTCTGGTTTTAAATAAGGGAGTTTCACTAAAACACCCAAAATGGGGGCTGAAATTATAAAAAAACCCAAGCACTATTTAAACATATAAACACACCCAAAACCTATCATTACACACACTCAAAACCCATTTATAAACACACCCAAAAAGTTGACTTTGGGTGTGTTTCTATGTTTAAATAGTGCTTGGGTTTTTTTTATAAATACATGTCTAGAATTGGGTTTATTTATAAATTTGTATTTAAATAATCCCCTCAAAATCTTAGTGTCACCATTTTCACTAAAACCTTTCTTTTCCAGACAGTTAAAATATAAAGCAATAGCAAATTAGGGCCACAAATCCACATTTTGGTGTGTTTATCCATTCTTAGGTGATTTGAGCAGTCATCTTACATGAAGATTTGCTTCTGCCATTTTCTCAATCTGGGTTGTCTTCTCACTTGCAATGGCTGCTGCCAGTTCTGCTTTTGCTAATTCCTCAACCTTTTTCAACTTCATTTCTTCTTCATTTTCCTGCATTTACTTAAAATTATCAACTTCAATTTACCAGTCATCATCTGCTGATGCACCATAAAGAAAGAAAAAAGGCTTAATCATCAATGTGCCCCTTGTGCTTCACCGAAAATCCCACTTTACCCCCTACATTTCAAACTGGGTCAATATGGCCCCTGTGCTTTATTTCCGTGTCCCTCGTTCCCCCATTCCGTCAATTTGGTTAGTAAAATCGTTAACTTGCTGATGTGGCATAGGTATTTTAGTAATTTTAGCTATTACAAAATTTCAAAATCTAAATTTTTTTTAAAAAACAATTTAAAAATATTTTAATAATAATAAGATTAGAAAGATAAATTTTTTTTAAAAAAACCCAGGACCCGAATAGCCCCACCGCCACACCTCCCACCATAACCCAACCCTTCCCTGTGGCCAACTACCGCCCCCAACCCATGGCCACCATTCCCTCCCCATCTTGCCACCCTGGTTTCTCCTCTGCCATGGTAAAAAACTATTGAAAATCAAAATAAAGTTCTTCATGACTGCACAGAGAATATGGGAAAAGGACAAGCATGAAATCGAACCTGGTTGGAAAAGAAAAGAGAAGCTGTGGCTTGGGGTTTTGGTGTTTGGGTACTCTGTTGGGGTGGCTAAGGCTTGGGGCAGATTGGATTATTGAGGTTGGGTGTGAATTTGGGGTGGCAGCTAGGGGTGAGTATGGCTGGGGGGTGAAGGTGGCTAGGTGGATTGGAGGGAGTGTTATCAATGTTTTGGTGTGGGTATATCACCTGGGTAGGGAGATCTGCTTGAACCATGGCAGAGTGCTGGCCATGGGTGGGGGGGAGAGTAGGGGTGGTGGGAGGTGTGTTGGTGCTGGGGCCTCTTTTTTTTTGAAAAAAAAATCTTTCTAATCTTATTTATTATTAAAATGTTTTAAAACTAGTTTTTATATTTAATTTAGATTTTAAAATTTTTTAATAGCTAAAATACTAAGTTAGCAATGCCAAATCAGCAAGTTAACGGTTTTACTAATCAAATTGATGGAATGAGGTAACAGGGGACGCAGAATTAAAGCACAGGGGGCATATTGACCCAGTTTGAAATGTAGGGGGCAAAATGAGATTTTTGATAAAGCACAGGGGGCGCATGGATAATTAAGCCAAAAAAATTTAAAAAGAAACTGACAGCACCAAAGTAATTCTGTACCTTGTGCTCAAGTTCTGTCTTAAACTCCTCTTCAAGCTTTTCTTGAAGTGACTTGAGTGCAGCAGCTGCTTTTGCTCTTTCTCTCTTTAATTCCTGAAAAACCAAAAAAGAAAAAATGTAAGAACAACAGCTACATCTTAAGTAAATAGAAACTATTTGTAGGTCCTGAGTAGTCAAAACAAACTGGATCTGAGGGTGGGGAAGAATCTCATGTGACTCTGCGCACATGCAGGTTATCTATCTCCACTCCTCATGCGTTACATTACTAGTGTCTTCCAAGTTCCAACACAATCTGTGTCCTCATATAGACCTTCATGCAGAGAAGTGACGCTATTTTCTAAATCACAAAGTTCTTCAATAATAGAACCAAAGATTTATTCACAACCCAATTCAGGTTCAGACTTCTGACATGATTGCAAAAATCCACCCCTCTCCCTCTCCCTCTCTCTAACAAGAAGATAGTCTTTGAAAATAAAACAAAGAGAAGATATATAAGAGAGCTCTTTAACCTTGTCTAGCATTGCTGCCTTTTCTGCAAGCATGAGTTCCCTGGCCCCAGCATCCTTTAGTTTCTTTTCATACTTCTCCTGTGATGAGGTAGGTGGTCAAATTCATGAAAAGTACAGAGCTCTCAACAACACTTTAGTCGAGCATTTTAAAACAAGGGAATAATAAATTCTTGTAAGTAATATTAGAAACCTTTAACGTTCTCTTTTCTTCAGAAAAAACACGAGTGTCTAACTCAGCTTGCCTTTTTTCAGCAGCATGAATGGCTTGTAAGAAGTCAAGAACAAGCTTTCCATCTTTGGATATGTAAGCATCATTCAACCCTTCAATTGCATCAACGAGAGCCTGTTATTCAGAGAACCAGAATTTAGTGAGTTCCATTGGACATTCTCTTTTGGCATTGCAACAGCACTATGCATAGAAGAGAAAAAAGTAAAATAAAATAAATGCTGATAACTACCTCTTTTTCTTTAGAAACTTGATCGTTTTCATTGTTAGAGTTGGTTGCGGTGCTTTCATCAGCCTCATCACTCAGATTATATGTCTTGAGGAGAGAACCTGATGGTTCTTCATTATTACCTAATGCAACCTGTAACAAAGTTCCACCAAAAGCAACTTCATATAAATACCATTCAAAATAAGCTCCCTTTGATGTTAAAGTCTAAATGACAACGTTAACATAATTATTGTGATGCATCAAGTTTCATTGATAAGTGCAGCCTAAAATTCTAGCCTTCACAAGTGTATCCACAAGTATTCAGCTTGTTAAAAGGAACCTAAATGAGAACTACCTGTACCTTGTCTTCTGTGATATCCTGTTGATGCGGCAATGTTTTCACCTCATTTTCTTGCTGCTGATCTGCATTAGTCTGCGAAACTATTGGCGATGTTTGTACATCCTCATTTATCTCCACACTAGTTTTTTCCTCTGTACTCTTCACATCGACATTCCCTTCAGATGATAACCCAAGATTTGCATTTTGGGAAAACTCAGGCAAAGCTTTCTCAGATTTATTATCATCCACCTGAGAATGTTCTTCACCATCTCTTCCACTCAAACCCTCAACATGAGCAACATCTGAATGAGTTTCAATCTTCTCCTCAACATTGCCAGCTTTTTCTTCATCATGCTTTTCTTCTTCCACAAGTTTTTCCTCCACACCAATCCCAGCTTCCTTATGCAAATCACTCTTCTCTTTTGCACCGAAAATCGGGTCTAGATACCCAGTTTTGTAAGCTCCCACAAGCCCAGCACCAACAACAGCACTTCCAAGGAAAATTTTGGCGCTCGAACCGCCGTTCTCCGGCGGCGGCGGCGGCAAACTGCCTGCACCACCAGGTTGCTGCGGCGCAGTTTTGGACGCTGCAGCGGAGAATTCCCTTCTCAGAAATCTTGAAACGTGCTGCAAATTTGAAGTCCCTATGTGTTATTATCAACAAAAGCATCACCAAATTCATACACTAACTAGTTCTAAATCAAGTGGAAATTTACATGCCTGACTTGAAATCGACCTCGGAATCTTCCTAAGTCCACGACGAGACGAAATTTGCAAAATTGATCTGTGGAACAAAGAAGAAACAAAGTGTCAATAGAGGCATTGGCGTCGCTGAAAGTAATTTGATAGAGAGATTCCTGAGGATTTCCAGTACCTTCGAAACATGGTTTTGTGGTGAGAGAGAGAGAGAGAGTGGAAGAGAGTGAGGCGCGAAAGGGCGGAGGAGGTGTTTGATGAAATGACGGAGTGAGTCGGTGAGCGACGGAAACGAGGGCTCGCTTAGGATGGCTAAAACGAATCGTTTTGGGTTATTGGCTTGGGCCGCGCATATAATAATAAGCCCTAGACTTTCAAAATAAAAAGGTTTTATTGTCTCTGACCAAGGAAGAGCCCAGCTGCCCCAAGCCAACTCCACAGTAAGTCCCTGCTTCTGCTTCTTCTCCTTCTCGTTTTCACTGTTTATGAAGCTCTCTCAGTCTCATCCATGGCTTAACAAAACTACAGCAGAAAAATAGAAATCCTAGAAAACCCAAAATAAAATAAAAAACGAAATATTATTTTTTTCTAAGGAAATGTCATTATTTAAACCCTAAACCCTAGACTTTGGTCACAATCTTATTGAGAGTTTCTTTTAATAATTATTTGATTTTAAATCCTGAAGTTCCTTTCTGTTTATGAGACTTTTTCTTTCTCTATTATGTAGGTATAGCTTTGCTGTTGAGGACAAACTTTCTGTAAGAATGGTTGATTTCCTCTTTGATGATATTTTTACCATTGAGAAAGTGGATCCGGATGGCAAAAAATTTGATAAAGGTTTGTCTGAATACTAGTTGCCCTCTTATGATTGCCAGAAAACTTGACTTAATCTTGATATATTGAAGGGACTTATTCACGTAACCGGAAAAAAAAAGAAAAAAGAAAGGGACAGAAGATTACAGTGTGTACTGATAAGAAGTGAAGCAAATTTTCCTTGTCCTAAATAGTCTTTTTGTTTTTCAAGCTTCACCAGATGGAACTATCTGCCTTTCAAGCTTTTCCATCACCTCCTTTTTAGATTAATTATGGTCATGATATGCAAACAAGTTGTCCTCTCACTGGTGGTCTGTGGACATTGTGTTCCTTTTTTTTTCTTTGAAGTGGTGTAGGGTTGAGGTTTATTTTGATTTATGCCACATTAAATTTTGCAATTTAAAATATGGAGAAATTTCTTCTAGACTCTTTTTAATGGTTTCTTTCGGGTTATGAGACATTGCTTTGATGTGATAAATTGTGTTAGGAGTTCATTGTCACCCACCCCATATAGTTATAAAAGGCCTTTTACATTCTATTAGCTTGGCATGATCGATAAAACTTTTGAATCTTTCTGGAAAATACTCTAATGCTTTTGGGTGCTTTTGTTTAAATTTTCACAAATGTGCTTCTGTAGTTTCCCGAATTGTAGCACAAAGTGAGAAGCGTGGTGTGTTGCTGATCCTAGATGTGAATACAGAGATATATCCGATGCATGAGGAGGAGAAATTCTTGATGGTGCTGTCTCCCACACTTAACTGGAGCGGAGCACCTGTTGCTGGAAAACAGGGACAGGTACTGTACTATACTTTTAAGGTGAACTTGGAGAGCGGACATATCAAAATTATGTCAATTTTAAATGGGAGAAAATTCCATCCACAGATTCATGTCTAAGATTAGCATTTTCCTTGCATGGCCAATATCCCATGATCACTCGGTGCTGATAATCATGATGATGTGGATTGTGTAATTGAACTGTGATGAAAAATAAGAATAACATTCTGTTGTAGTTTGTATTTCGACATTTTCTATGGACTAGTGCCTGTATGTTGTGCTGTCTAAATTGTTTGGAATTCTCTAATTGCCCATTTACTGAAGATGATTACCTTTTGGCAGGTTGAGCAGAAATCTCTTGCAGACAAGTTTGATTATATAATGCATGGATTGCTGTATAAAATGTCAACAGCAAAAGGAAAATCAGAGTATTCAAAAGAAGGTGTCAAAGTGTAAGTGACATACTGCTCAAACTACATTTTTCTTGCAAATTATTCAGAGTGATCATTACTTCCATGTTGAATTAGCGTGGTGTCTGGCTAGATGGGGTTCATTTTTCTGGCAATTATTTAGGGATTGCTTGTGAATGCAACTAGAATTTATGTTGTAGAAATCATAAAAGGGTTGAGATCCATTTGGTCTCTTTTATATTGCTTTTGTCTTATAATATCTCGAATTTAAATTGTCTGAGTGAAAGAAATCCATTTCTGTTAATCTGAATTTAGTGGCTTTGTGGTTATTTACTGGGTTTTCTAATTGGCTTCAGGGAGGTATATGCTTCATTTGGTGGGCTTCAGATGATGCTGAAAGGAGATCCAACAAGTTGTACTAAGTTTAAGATTGATCAGAACATGTTTTTGCTTATCAGGAAATTGATATGAAACTTTTGTCATATAATTGAACAGTGTGGCTTGTTAAACTCACAAATTTTCTGTATACGCCTTTAGATACGTCTAATTCTACTTTTGCGTTTCATTAATGGTGATATGTTGCAGAGTTTCAATGTTCTGATATTCCTTGTTTCTTTTTTTACTTGGTGAACCGTTTTCTGAGATTTGGCAGCAGGCTAATAATTTATAGTGTATAAGGTAAAACAAAAGATGTATTATTCCCAGACTTCAACCGGCAAAAATCTTGGATTATTTTGAACTCAATAAATTCTCAATTAATCTCCTTTTTTATGAAATTATTATTAATCCTCCTATCAATTGGTTTATCCCTTATTAGGGGATGGCCATGGTGCAAACTTTTTTTGTCTGAATTTCATTTCATATTTGAAGGGAAAAAAAAGAATTGTAGACTTTGTGTGGGAATTGCGTATAATTTGATTGTGTTGATATTTGCTCTTCCATGCGTCTTCTTTGTTATATTAAGAGGCTCTGGTTGTATCTCTCTAGAGAATAAGAAAATGACAAAACAGCTGCCAATATAGAAATTAAGACAGTTCGAACAGTAAACAGAAAGCAAAAGTAAATTGAACAAAATATAAAATATAAAATGCCAACAAAATGCCAATGGTATACAAAATTTACTGTATAGTGTAGGTTTATTACCCATACGGCAGTATTTATTTAAAAGTGTGGCTTGGGTTATCGTCCACACGACTACTTTTACTTTTATATAAGGTAAACTGTCGACTTATCCTTTGAATTTGTACATAACTCTCAATTTACCTCCTGATCTTTTTTTTTAGTGAATTAAGGGCTCGAATTAAATTTTATTATCAAATGTTCCCCCACCGTCAAAATTCGAACATTTCATTCATTAATCCGTCCATTTGAGGGTTATTTTGGTAGGGTTGGACAGCCACCGTCTCCATGTCGATATCTCCCTCAGCCCCCTTCCCCTTCTTGGACTTGCAGCAACCCCACCCCACCCCACCCCACCCCACCCCACCCCACCCACCCTCCGAACCATTGCCTATCCCTCCTAAAAATAGTTTCATAGCACACCCATCCCTCCCAAAAATAAATAAATTAATTAATTAATTAATTGTGACCATCAACCAGACCCATACCTGCAACCCACGACCACCTCAAGCACAAAATCAAACTAATATTTCCCTCAGCCCCATTCCCCTTCTTGGACCTGCAACAACCCCACCCCACCCACCCTCCGCACCATTGCCTAGCCCTCCTAAAAAAAATTCGCAGCACACCCATCCCTCCCAAAAAAGAAAAAAGAAAAAAGGAATTGTGACTATCAACCAGACCCATACCTGCAACCCACGACCACCTCAAGCACAAAATCAAACCTAACCCAAATTTGTTAAACCTCTTTCTAATAGCATGGTTTGGTGTGCTGATTTTGAGATGAGACATTAGTTCAAGGTATGAATTTCTGAGCTGCTGTGAATCTTCTCTCTCTCTCTCTCTCTCTCTCTCTCTCTCTCTCACCAGATAGATGGAAATCGCCAGAAACAAATGGAGAACCAAGCTTGGAGGGCAAAATGAGAAGTGAGGTTCACCTGGATAATTCAATCCATGCTGAATGACCAAAATAACCCTCAAAAGAGAGTCAACGTAAGTCAAATAGATGGATTAATGGATGAAATGTTCGAATTTTGACCGAGTCGAGGGGAACATTGATAATAAAACTTTGTTTGAGCCCTTAATTAGCTATAAAAAGATCAGGGGGTAAATTGAGAGTTATGTACAAGTTCAGGGGGCAATTCAGCAGATTACCCTGTTATTTAAAAGTATGGAGTAGAATTAGTGTCCATACAAGCACGTTTACTTTATCGCACATTTATTTTATTATTTAAAGTATGGTGCGGGATTAACATCCATACATGAAGCAATTTAATTTATGAATTAATTTTACCACATATTTACATTTATTTAAAGTATGGTGCGGGATTATTGTCTATACCAGCAATCAATTTACCTTATGAATTTACTTTATCGCACATTTACTTTTATTTAAAGTATGGTGCAAAATTAACGTCTATACAACAAGCAATTTATTTTATGAATTAATTGTGCGGTATGATGAGTTTTACAGTATACAGAGATCAGGACTAGAAGTTCCTTGATCCTTATCATACAACTACATCATGACCTGAAGATCCTTGACGATGATAATGATATGAGAGCAAGTATTCTCTCCAGTACTATTTTTGTAAACTTGTGATCGGACCTGAAGATCCTTAATCCTTGACGTGTAAATAAGGACCTGGAGTTCCTTGATAATGTAATAGTATCGTATTGGTTAATAGTGTCGTACACATGAATAGTAACTATACTAGCAAATGTACTGTACGCATGAATAGACAAATATTCATGACATGATGAATGGTACCGTATACATGAATAGTGACATATACATAAATATTAACCATTTTTGGGTAAACCGTCACTATATACAAAAGGGAACCTGTAGTTCCTTAAACTCATGGATAAACAATTAAATGAGAAGCAAGAAGCTCCTCAAAACATGGAAAATTATGTAAGGGCCTGAAGTTCTGAAATATGTACAGGAAATTATGAAAATGTCCATATCGTGAGAATATGTGATTTTGGCATGAAGTTCAAAATCTAAGAGTATTGAATGTCCATACCATGAAAATATATGATTTTGGCATGAAGTTCAAAACCTAACAATATTGAGAACCTGAAGTTCTAACAGTTAAATGGACAAGCCTTGAGATATTATTAATTGTGGTACACCACATATTTCTTTGGCATAAGAAAATGATGAATTTAATAAAGTTTGATTATGTTATATGTTGGTACCGTTACTAATCGAGCAACTAGCTATGCTGGATCAGCCACGTGCCATACTTTGAGAGGTCATCACCTTAGCCAAAGAAGCATTACTGCAAGTCACAACTCGAAGTAAAGCAAGAGGAGTCCCACATCAGAAAACTACAAGAGATGGTGACTCCCCCTCGCCTATAAAAGAAGACGACTCTCCCTTGAGAAAGGGACTCTCTCTTATGGATCCTGGGCTGGGCTTTATCTTTAATGATGGGCTTCCCCCTTATTATCTTTATATTTGGGTCCAACCCTATGTACAAATGTAAACATACATTATTATAATGAAACATATTTCTCCGTGGATGTAGCCCATTCATTAAGGGTGAACCACGTATATCTCGTCTTCTTTATATTTATCGTTTGCCCAAATCTTCACACACATGCTGAAGGTCCTCACCTTCACCCATCATCCACCATTCTACCTCTATCTAAGTTGACCCTCCCAAAAAGAGCATCAATAGTTTGGCGCTGTCTGTGGGAATCGACACAAGAAGCCTTTGTCGATTCTCCATTCTTCAGTGCCTTTCGGCACCCTTACAATCAACATCACTTAATTGTTGTTCGGCAATACCTGTGGTGAGGCAACTATGAGTCATGAAGGCATCAAGATGCCGAATACATTACTCTTGTCGAAACCTCCATTAGATAAGTGGCACATTCATTATTTTTACAAATTATTTAATATTGAAGGAACTTATTATTCTTGGGATCAAGAAAGGCCACGTGCATTATTTCTAAGAGATAAAGCACATTTTCTTATCTTATATTTTAGTATATTTGCAAGCATGCAATTCAATGATTGCATATATTATTCAAGTGGCTGACATAAACCATGGGATCAATCGGTGGCCTAGCCACACCTTCAATTCTTCTCATTTTAATACTATTTTGTCCTATTTGTCATAGGAAAGTGTGGAGCAATTTGAATGGACATGCCAAACGGCACCCACCCATCTTAGATGTTTAATCACCATCTAGTGGAAGCCACTCAAACCGTACAACAAGTTTAAAAGCACGGGATGGAAAACTACAAAGTGGCCATTGGCACCGCATCCTCCAAACAAATTGATTGGCCAAACCATGATATCTCCATCTGATTTCGAAAGCTTAAAAACTAGAGAGTAACCAAGCTTGCAGCTTATTCATGGGTTACTGAATAGCGCACCACATGCCAGAGATTTCATCAAGACACCCAATATCCAATTAGGCAACACAACCATTCTCTTACCATTCAGCTAAAGCATCTCTAAAGTGACGCCACATGCATCATCTGCAAGAGACATGCAGTTCAGCGGTTTGTGCTTAGACAAATCAACAAATCTCCAAGCGGCACCCACTCAGGAATCACAAACTCCAAATCTCCTCTGTTTATACCAAAATGAACAGCCTATTAGGACCAGACACGTGGACAAGATTGAGCCTAGCAATGGTGGCCTTCGGCATCTTGCCTACCTATCCAACGATTAGGGCAACTTCCTTCTCTAAGACACGTGGCGTGCCCACAATCAACGTCCACAGTCCCACATCAAAATTCTAAACAATAAGCACACCTCTCAAGGCCTATAAATAGGACCACTATCCGTAAATGGAGGTAATCGGAACTTACGGCATACAGCCTATTGATCTGTCAGTCTAAGTTTACTAAATTCGTGCTTACTAAAGCATCGGAGAGCCTTCGGCCGATACCACACCGGTGCCTAAGGTCTTATCGAACGTTTGTTATCTTGCAGATTACACGCTCCACATAGACCTGAGGCATACCGAATGCCCAACATCACTAAGTTGAGCCCAAAAAGTGTCGAACCACTTTTTTGTATCAACAGTTTGGTGCCACCGGCTTCTAGGGACCAGCCCCACCTACCGAAGAAGGTCTACACCGATTGTCGCCACCGGCTTAATGACAAGGAAGTTGAGAGACAGGGATCACCGATCAGGATCAATGCTCACTTAAGAGACTCCCGAATGAGGGTTTTGGGAAACAAGTCGCCTATTCTGAAGGTACGAGGTCTGGAATCCATGGCGGAATCAGACCACGAATATGTCCCCTCTAAGACCCAAGGGACAACTTACCGTTCGGCAACACCTACACAGTACTCAGAGGCCAAGCAATTGAGTCCGCAGCGACATTCAGAGGACTATGATTTCGTAGAGATTCCAAGCCGAGATCCCGTCGTCTGAATTTGTTTCTAGAAGGTTCAGAAGATGGAGAACGACTAAACCCGTTCTCAGGAGCCCGACTGGGGAAAGCTTTGACCAGGGCCATTCACCGAATGCATCAAGCATTCCCGGCAGGATAGGGATGTGCAGCTACTGCGCATACCGTTCTACACCGAGGTAGAAGACCCCTTAATGCATCTTCACTCTTTCCAGTTTGCCGTGGGATGTAAAGGTCTCAGTGATGAGGGGCAATGCCTGCTATTTCCATATGCGCTTACCGGAGCGGCCTTGAATTGGTTCTACTGATTAGAACTAGAGACGGTAGATTCCTTCGACGAGTTGAAGCAAATTTTTCTCAATCACTTCATGATCCGGACGGACTGTTTGTATTCTTCCGATAATCTGTACATGATTCGGCAAAAGGAGGATGAGCCCCTTAGGGAATACGCTGCATGTTTCAGTCACGAGTACTCAAGGTGTCCAGAAACGAATGACAAGGTAGCCTACGACACCTTCAAGAGTGGCCTTCGGTCCTCACACTTTTGGTACCTAGTACACAATAGCAACTGACGCACCTATGACGAACTAATGAAGCAAGCGGCAATCCACGCCAAGGCCGAATACTTCAATTCAAAGTCTGGGCTCGGTAGAAGGAACCAGTGTTAAAGAATTATTCAGTCTAGGAGCCATCGTACCCTCCAAATGAAAGAACTGATCAGTATTCAGTAGGCCACAAAAGGAAAGACAACCATGATGCTCAGCAGGGGCACTCAAAGAAAGGAAAAGGGAAGGACGGTCGCAACGACCACCGAGCGCCGTTATCGAATCATGAACGCAGTCAGGAAGTTTTAACCTTGCTTAATACTACCTACGAAGCCGTTCTAATGAACGAGCAAGAGATAATACCCAAACCGGTCAACCGGAAACTCAATTGGCAAGACAATCGGGACAGTGGGAAGTTCTACCTATACCATCAACACAATAGCCAAAATACCGAAGAGTGCCTAAGTCTGAGGAAAATCATCGAGCGTTTGATTCGGGAGGGAAAACTGGACCAGTACATTGCCAGACCACCACAAGCGCCGGCTCTGAACGTGAATCGACAGATTAATATGATTAGCACCATTAGTGGAGGTCCCACTCTTGCTGGTATATCCAACCGGTCAAGGAAGCAGTACGTTCGAGCAGCACAATACCCCCAGGTCTTCGAAATAGAGGTCAATCGGCATCATAAAACACAGAGGGTTAGGTGGGAATCTATCACGTTCTGTGAGGAAGTAGAATAAGGGATCCTCTACCCCCATGATGACCTGATGATCATCCGAGCATAAATCACTGACTTCGATGTCGGACGAGTGCTGATCGATACCAGAAGCTCGGTAAACGTAATTTTTGCCGACGCATTCCGGGAATTAGGGGTAGATGATGCCTACCTCAATCGGGAGTTGACGCCGCTGCTCAGCTTCTCTGAGGACCTGGTTCAACCTGTCAGCAACGTTAGTTTGCCTATCGTCTTCGGCGTCTCCCCATGAAAGACGATGATATATGACCAATTCCTCATTGTGGACTGCCTAACGGCATACAACATCCTAATTGGGCAGACGACACTCACAGGAATCAAGGTGCACCTGTCCCCGCAAATGCTGCTGATGAAATTCCCTAGTAGCTTTGGCACGGGATCAATACAAGGGGACTAGCTCAACGCACGAACTTGCTATGCGACGGCTCTCAAATCGGCAGCCTCAAAACCTCCTAGCGAGACCATGTCAGTACAAGGAACACCGAACGGTAAGGGACCAATCGACGACCCAAGGGATGAAATCCCAACACCTCAGCACAACCCACCGAAGACCTGGAAACGGTGGTTTTGAACGCAGAGCAGCCCAATCGGTACGTCAAAATCGGCACCACACTCACCTCATCCCTCCGAACAGAATTCATTGAGTTCTTACGACATCACTCGGAAGTGTTCGCCTGGTCTTAAGACGATATGTCAGGCATTTCCCCCGAGATCATCAGCCACAAGCTCAGCATCTCCCCCGCTTATAAACCCGTGAGGCAGAAACACCGTTCATATACCGAACGGTATGAGGCCATGCAGACCGAAGTTTACAAGCTCCAAGCCATCGGCTTTATCAGGGAAGGTACGTACCCTGTTTGAGTGGCGAACTCTGTAATGGTTCGGAAGGCAAAAAGGGGGTGGCAAATGTGCCAAGACTACACCGATCTGAACAAGGCCTGTCCGAAGGATAGCTTTCCGTTGCCCGAATCGACCAGCTCGTAGAAGCTACCGCCGGTCATGAGCTGTTCAGCTTCATGGACGTCTATTCGGGCTACAACTAGATATTCATGCACTTTTTCGACAGCAAACATACGACATTTGTCACGGATAGGGGATTATACTGTTATAACGTCATGCCATTCAGACTGAAAAATACGGGAGCAACATATCAGAGGCTTGTCAACCGAATCTTTGCCAAATACATCGACAGCATCATGGAGGTGTATGTCGATGATATGTTGGTAAAAAGTAGGATAGCCGAGGAGCACCTACATAATTTGGCCCTTATGTTCGGTATACTAAAAGACTACTGGATGAGACTAAACCCATCGAAGTGCGCCTTCGGTGTAAGTTTCTGGGTTTCATAATCAGTTAGAGAGGGATCGAGGCAAATCCTGAGAAAATCAAGGCCATACTTGACATAGAGAGGCCGAAGACACAGAAAGACATCCAGAGCCTCACCGGGCGTGTCACTGCCTTGACCTGCTTCATTTCTAAAGCCACCGATAAATGCATACTGTTCTTTAAAGCCTTAAAAGGAGGCAAACACCATGTCACATGGACTGCCGAATGCGATAAGACATTTCAAGACTTAAAGAACTACATGAGCAAAACACCTCTGCTGTCGAAACCCCTCCTAGGGGAGGTTCTGTTTCTTTACCTTTCGGTATCCAGCACTGCCATTAGCTCAATATTAATACACAAACCAAAGAAGGCGGAATTACCGATCTTTTATGTCAGTAAAGCACTGCAAAGTGCAGAGCTTCGGTACCCTCCCCTAGAACAGCTGGCCCTTGCTCTCGTTGTCTCAGCCCGAAATCTCCGTCCATACTTCCAAGCCCACGAAATAACAATTTTAACCAACCAACCGCTTCGGCAAGTACTCCAGAAACCCGAGACATTCGGCCGATTGGTCAAGTGGGCAATCGAGCTAGTAGAATTTGACATACAATTCAAGCCAAGACGTACTGAGAAAGGACAGGTCGTCGCTAATTTCATCTCCGAGCTCACACCTCCGATAACACTCGAACCGGCAGATTCACGAACTGACGCCACAGAGCCTAGGGTGCTGAGCGCAGGATATTTCAATCCTTCAATCCCGTTGTGGATCCTGCATGTCGACGATTCGGCAAATCAGCAAAGGTGCGGAGCTAGCCTTGTACTTACCGAATGGGGTCAAGATAGAGTATGCCCTCCGATTCAGCTTTCGAACGTCCAACAAAGAGGCAGAGTATGAAGCCCTCTTAGCCGGCCTTCAGCTGGCCAAGAATATGGGCACTAGGCAAATCAGCATCTACAATGACTCCCAACTCATTGTAAACCAGGTAACTGCCGATTTTGCAGCCAAGGATGTATCCATGTCAGCCTACCTGTAATCAGCACACCAACTACTTCAAAAATTTATGGCTTACGAGATTTGGCAAGTACCCAAATCGAAGAACAGTCAAGCCGATGCACTCGCCAAGCTGGCTTCGGCGATAAACGACAAAGTCAGTAGACAGGTTATGATGGAATTACTAACTCACCCGAGCACTATGACGGTTGATGTATGTACCGTACGGTACGAGGACACTTGGATGCCCTTAATACAACCTTACTTAACAAACGTGGTTACACCACTCCGTACCTGAAATGCATCACTACCGAACAGGGGGATTACGTCATTCGGGTGATCCACGGTAGGGGTGGCAATTTCGGACACGACTCGAAACCCGTACGATAAAAAAACAGGTCAATTTTGGGTCAACCCGTTCTGACTCGTTTAATAAACGGGTGGGTTTCGGGTCAACCCGCTATAATACCAATCTAACCCATTTATTAAACGGGTCGTGTCAACCCGCATCGAACCCATTAACCTGTTTTATTTGCAAACTCTAAAAGACTGCAGAATACTTATTAATAATTTAATACCCTCCTTAAAAAAAAAACGTTGCATATATATTCATAAGTTCATAACCCTAGCTCTCACTCATGCGCTCTGATACAATACAAACGACCTTTTCACACAGCCGCCTAGCCTTAGTCTGCTCAGTGCTCACCAAACCAGTTTTCTCCTCTCCAAGTCCAATCCAAGCTTCATCTCTTTACTCCCTCTGCTTTGGTCTCATCTCCGTCTACCTCTCGACTCTCTCTCGTTTACCTCTCAACAAATAACAAGAGGGTTGGTCTCAATACCCAGATCAGATTCAAAGGTTGGTTTTTTTTTCCTGTGCTTAGTTTGCATTTGACGGAATTCCTTTTCCACTTTTCGTTTATTCTATTGGTTTCTGATTATTTTGTTTGGGTTGTCTTAGAATCTTAGATTGGTGATTTTCTAAATTTTTTTTTGGGTTGTTAAAGAGAAACTAATTATTATAATATCAGATTGTGAATGTAATGATAGTGGTGAAATAAAGGCAGCGAAACCTATCAATAATGTACTAGTAGACAATAGCATCAAGATTAATAGTGTTGTTTTGTTGTTCTATTTCTAATTTATTTATGATATTGAACTTTTTTTTATTTCATTTCAGGTTCGATTGGAGTTGGAGGTGTTGGAATTTATAATTTTGTAAGTGTTTTTTTGGTTAAATTCGTTGTTGTTTTGTTGCACAGATTCTGCTTGATTATTATTTTTTTAATATGAAATTATTATGTTTCATATAGGTGGAATGGATACTTTTGAAGGTGTATCCGAAAGTGCTGAAGGTGGAGTTGGAGTTGGAGAAGTTAGAAACAATGTGCTTGATTCAGATCCATCAAACAACAACAATGCAGTTGTAACTCAGACTGGTAAGCGGCGTAGAAAACTCACATCAGCGGTATGGACTCCATTTGAAATTCTTCCTATAGATGACAATAATGAGCAAAGAGCAAAGTGTATGAAATACGGTCAAAAATATTTGTGTGATAGTAGGTATGGTACTAGGAATTTGAAGCGTCATATTGAATCTTGTGTGAAAACTGATACTCGTGATTTAGGCCAGTTATTATTATCTAAATCTGATGGGGCTATCTTAACAAGGTCTTCCAGGTTCGATCCTATGAAGTTTTGTGAATTATTAGTGATGGCAATTATCATGCATGACCTACCCTTTCAGTTTGTTGAGTATGCTGGAATTAGGCAACTGTTTAATTATGTTTGTGCTGATATTAAATTGGTATCTCGTAATACTGCAGAGGCTGATGTGTTGAGTCTTTATCATAGAGAAAAAGCTAAGCTTAAGGAAATTTTGGGTTCAGTCCTGGAAGAGTTTGTTTGACATCTGATTTATGGACGTCTATAACCATAGATGGTTATCTTTGTCTCACTGTCCATTTTATTGATATTAATTGGAAATTGCAGAAAAGAATATTGAATTTTAGTTTTATGCCTCCTCCTCATACTGGTGTTGCATTGTGTGAGAAAATCTATAGGTTATTGACTGATTGGGGGGTGGAAAAGAAACTTTTTTCAATTACTTTAGACAATGCATCTTCAAATGATACTTTTGTTGAGTTGTTGAAGGGGTAACTTAATTTAAAGGATGCATTATTAATGAATGGAAAGTTTTTTCATATTCGATGTTGTGCTCACATTCTTAACTTAATAGTGCAAGATGGGTTGAAACACATTGATGATTCTGTGGGGAAAATTAGGGAAAGCATTAAGTATGTTAGAGGTTCACAAGGGAGGAAACAGAAATTCCTAGATTGTGCTGCACAAGTTTCTTTAGAATGTAAAAGGGGATTGCGTCAAGATGTACCCACTAGATGGAACTCCACCTTTCTTATGATTGACAGTGCACTTTATTATCAACGTGTGTTTCTGCATTTACAGTTGAGTGATTCTAATTACAAACATTCTCTTTCTCAAGATGAGTGGGGAAAATTGGAAAACTTAGCAAGTTTCTTAAGGTGTTTTATGATGTGACTTGTTTGTTTTCTGGAACTAAATACCCAACAGCAAATCTGTATTTTCCTCAAGTTTTTGTGGTAGAAGATACTTTGAGAAAGGCAAAGGTTGATTCAGATAGTTTCATGAAATCTATGGCAACTCAAATGATGGAAAAGTTCGATAAGTATTGGAAAGAGTATAGTTTGATCCTTGCAATTGCTGTAATATTGGATCCTAGATACAAAATTCAGTTTGTGGAATTTTGTTATAAAAGGTTGTATGGTTACAACTCCGAAGAAATGACTAAAGTTCGTGATTTGTTGTTTTCTCTCTTTGATTTATATTTTCGGATATATTCTTCTTCTGAATATGTTTCTGGTACTTCAAGTGCCTCAAATGGTGCTCGTTCTCATGTTGATGACATGGTTTCTAAAGAATGCTTGGATGTTATGAAGGTAAATAACTATTTATTTTATAGGAATACATAAAAGTTTAATATACATTTGACTGTTTGTGCTCATATTAATGTTATAATTTTTTATTATTAAAGAAATTTGATAACTTTGAAAGTGAAGAGTTTACCACTTCTACCCAAAAGACTCAGTTACAATTGTATTTGGATGAGACCAAAATTGATAGGAAGACAAAGTTGAATGTTCTTGTTTTTTGGAAAGTGAACCAATTTCGATATCCTGAGCTATCAATTTTGGCACGTGATTTATTGTCTATTCCAATATCCACAGTTGCATCTGAGTTAGCATTTAGTGTTGGTGGTAGAGTGCTTGATCAATATCGTAGTGCTCTTAAGCCTGAAAATGTTGAGGCACTAGTTTGTACACGTGATTGGATATTTGGCGAAGGTATATTTGCTCAAACTTGATTCTTATTTCTTGTATCTATTTCTTTTCAACATCAGCTTAATCCTTAATATTTGATTTGTAGACAATTCTACTTTAGCACCCAACCTAGAAGAATTGACTGAGAATATTAGCAAGATGGAAATAAATGCTACAGATTCTGCAAAGGGCTCTAATACAGTCACTGTTGGTGGACAGAGTTGATGTGGTTGAATGAAAGATGAAGACTGATTATTATTCAGTTGGTTTTTATTTGTATTTGTGTTGTAATTATTTCACTCTTGTAACTTGATTTGAACTTTTCTGTTCAATTTGGAGTTGAACTTGAACTTTTCTATTCAATTTGGAGTTGAACTTGAGCTGATGAATATGTATTTGTATTTTGTGTTGTAATTATTTCACTTTTGTAACTTGATTTGAACTTTTCTGTTCAATTTGGAGTTGAACTTGAACTTTTCTATTCAATTTGGAGTTGAACTTGAACTGATGAATATGTATTTGTATTTAATTATTTACTTAGATTGTATTTGGGGGAAGTTTTATCAAACTGTTAAAATTATTGATTTAGTTATAATAAAAAATGAACAGGTGGCGGGTTACATGGGTTGGGTCGTGTCAACCCGTTTATAAACGGGTCGTGTTCGAGTTGACCATTTCTGACATGTTTAAAATCTTGACACGATACGAACTCGACACGACACGACCCATTGCCAGGCTTAATCCACAGTAGGGTTTGTGGCGATCATGCTAGTTCCCAATCGTTGGCACACAAAGCCTTCCGGCAAGGATACTATTGGCCAACCATGCATCAGGACGCAGGCAAACTGGTGAAGAGTTGTGATAGGTGCCAGCGATTCGGTGACATACCCCATGTCTCTGCCGAGCCATTAATGCCGATCATAAGCCCATGGCCATTTGCCCAGTGGGGACTCGACTTAATTGGCCCGATGCCGCAAGGTAAAGGCCAGGTCAAATACGTTGTGGTTGTCGTAGATTACTTCACCAACTGGGTTGAAGCCGAGGCTCTAGCAACCATTACGGCAGCCAGGATAGAAGATTTTGTATGGACCCATATTTGCTACAGATTTGGTATTCCTCACGCTATTATTACTGATAACGGCAAACAGTTTGATTCAGAACTCTTCAGACAGTTCTGTACCCGCCTTAAAATCAACCTATTTTTCGCTTCGCCAGCTCACCCCCAGTCAAACGGCCAAGTAGAAGAGATAAATAAAATCATCAAGAAACTACTCAAATGGCAGCTTGAAAATGCCAAGGGTGCCTGGCCGGAGAAGCTTCCCGAAGCACTATGGGCCATCCGGACATCCTTCCGAATGTCAACTGGGGAGACCCCTTTTTCCCTCGCCTTTGGTTCGGAAACCGTCGTCCCCATCGAGATCGGCGAACCCTCTTACTGAACGAAATGCTTTGAACCAAAGGCAAATGAGGAAGCCCTTACACTAAATCTCGACCTGATCGAAGAGTGCCGAGCGCAAGCGAACCTTCGGAATGAAGCTTACAAGCAGTGCATCTCTTGGTACTATGACTCGAGGATTAGACCTTGTTCCTTCCGAATCGGGGACTGGGTAATGCGAAAGGTCTCTTTGGCCACAAGAAACCCCATGGAAGGAACCCTCAGACCTACCTGAGAAGGACCCTATGAAGTCATTGGCATCCTCCGGTCCAGTACATACCGACTAAGAGATTCCAAAGGCAAGACCCTCGGTCACCCATGGAATGTCGAGCACTTGAATATTACTTCAAGTAAAGTTCCCTAGCCAACGACAAGATAAAATTGTACAAAAACGAGTTGCATGTACTTTTGCCTTCGACAATATGAATGAAAAGCCCTCGGCTCTGTTAAATCATTAAAGCACTCGATTATTCTGTCCATTTTGCTTTCGATAAATAACATTGTGTTTGGAATGCACTTTATTGTTTGAAAATGTTGACCGATTTTAAAAGTTTGCTAGGCAATATAGTTTTTATTAGCCCTCGGCAATAAAAGTTAGAACCTTGATCTTACCGATTGAAATAACACATGCAATTTTCACTGAGAAAGCTTTCCTAAGTAATCTCTATGAACAGATAGGGTTAGCCATCGGCGACTATTATCTAATCAGCAGGGCATGCTAGAAGGAAAAGCAATAATGAATAAAAGAAAATACTGAATAAATTCAAATAGATGCCCTCGGCATTAAGGTGTTCGGGACAAACTGCCTTATGGCAAGTACAAAATAGAAATAAAAGTTTCAAACTACACGCCGCGGAAAGCTCAAATGGCAGCCCCTTCATCGGCAGCTTCAGCACCCTCATCAACAGCGGCAACGGCAGGACCCTCGATGGCGGTAACGTCTTCTGAAGCATCCTCCCCTTCATAGTCTTCAATCATCTCTTCTGTGATACCTTCTGGAAGAGGAGGAGGATCGACAACAAAGTTCAGGTTCAGCTTCTGCCCAGGGTTGAACCGTTTGAAACGATACAGAAGATCCGCCATCTCCAAGCCCACTTCATTGTCCTGTAGGGCAGTGAACTTATCAGACGAACGGTAACCCTTGATTGCCTCTCAAACAGTAGCCTCGATTTCTGCAGCCTTTGCCAGCTTGGACTCCTCCAATGCCACTTGCACGGCCTCCTTTGCTGCCACGGTGTCCTTCGCTGCCGTCACCACGGCATCCAGAGCCACCCTCATCTCTGTCAGTTTGGTCTCAGAAGCTTTGACTTGCCTTTCGGCAGCTTGCTTGTCCTTCAAAAGATGAGCGTGATCTTGGAGAGCCATGCCTGCCTCGGCATCCTTGGCACGACCATCATCGTAAGCCTTTTCGGCGCACTCGGTAGCCGAGATGGCCCTCTTCACGCACAACCATATGTCCATCGATGCCTGAAAGGTAAAACCAATAGTCAGAACAAGTGTAAAAGCTAACGACAAGCAAAATAGAGGCATAGGAAACTTACAGAAGCTTGGAGACAGAAGGCACGACCGGCCTCCTCGGGAGCTCCTCGATCTCTGACAACTCCATTTGCGAACCAAGGATCATGTGGTTCGCAAATTGGACCGTCTTCGGTGGACAGACGATGTTGATGGGTTCGGCAGGGCCATCATCGTCCTCAACGGTAAAGACGACCTTCGGAGCCTTCGTCTGCCGCCCATGTTTGGACACCGGCTCGGCATCCAAATCTACCATTATTGGCCACTTCCCAGCCGACTTGGAGGCAGTAGCCTTGGTAGCCTGCTCTCACCTCAGCGGTGAGTTAGCCTCGATTGCACCACTGGGCACTAGCTCGGCACTCAGCTACCTTAGCCGATCGGCAAGAGTCTGATCCTCTGGATCAACCTCGGCTGCCGTCTCTTATTCTTCTCTTTTAGGCCCATCGTAAGGTGCATTTTTTAGGATTCGTTCATCCTCTTGGCTTCGGTAGCTCTCCTGGCCTCTATCACTGTACGAACCAAAGACTGGTAAGACGCCGACATATCATAAAGTGAACATACGAACTAGACGAAGTGCACTTACTCTCGGTAGGGCTAACGAGGCGGGCTCTGATAAGGTTCTCGGTAAAGAGGAATCTCGAGCATACCTTGTCAGTAGCAGGAACCTTCAGCCTCACTTTATCAACCTGCTGAATCTCGGATTGAGTTGGGCTTGGCTATTTTAGTTTGCCTGCAAAACAACAAAAAACGATTAAAAAATTAATCGGAAAAGGCATATTGATAACTTGCCGATCGGCATGCTATTGACCTACCAGCTATCTAGAAAGTGGTGGGAATGTGGAAACGGACGGGCATTCCCGAAGGCGATTCCTAATTGCCAGACAAAAGCACCCGCCGATTCCTCTAAGACTTTTGAGAAGTTGGCACGACACTGACAAAATGCCCCCGTTCGGAAGCGCTGAGACAGTTGACCTGAACCCAACCTCCATGATTGGCACTCTTAGACTTGGTAACACTATACAGGTAGGAGAATTGCTCATAGGAAGGCTCCCCTTCCTCGACAATACCGAATGCAGCGATCACCCCCATCAAGGCCACCTAGAAGTTGGGATTGTATTGGCCTGGAGCATACTCGATTTGGGTAAGGATCTTCTACACGGCAGGTTGTAACGGCAACCGAACCCTCTGCAGAAGAAAGTTAGTGAAAAAGACAACCTCACCATCGTCTGGGTTGTTGAAAGACTCGGTAGGACCCAGGATCCTCATCTTCACTAAATCCGGGATACAGTACTCAGCACGAAGCTTGACTAGCTCTCGTATGGTCATCTTATTGGGCTCCAAATAATCTACGCCAAACATATGCTCATTCGGTACGCCTATGGGTACCCTAGGGTTTCCTCGATGAACTATGGATACCCTCGGTTGATTAAGGGGGTTGGCAGTTGCCTCTCCACGGCCAGAGGTGGAGGTCTCTAATTGATGGCTGGCATGCTCATCCGGCACCTGAGTATCCCCCATCTGGAACTCATAACACTAGTTTGCACCGGCATGACTGCCGTCACTATACACCACAGCCAACGGTACTGGCTGTCTTTTCATAAGTCCCTTCCTGATGCCATAGGTAGGAACGTAGCTTGTCCCTTCACTGACTATTTTGACATCAGTATCTTCTCCACCCTCGGCATCAAGGCTTACGGCCTCACTATTTGTATCCCACTGATCGTTCAATGACTCCCCATCAAATGCATTTGGCTCTCTCTCAAACGGAGACTCACTATCAGATATCTATAAAACACAGAAAAAGGAAACTAAGGGTCATACAGAAGCCTAGCCTACCGATGACTACATCGTTACCTACGACAACCAGACTACCGAACGGAACCCTACTTGCACAAAGTTCAGTCTAGCTCATGCGAAGGAAGGCCGTGCAAAGAATAAGTAAAAGTATTTAAAAGAATACCGAACGGTACCTTATCTCGAACTACGGATGAAAAGTGGCCTGAATTGCCGATCGTCCTCATCAGAAATCGCCTTGACTACAGACTGGTCTCGTCGGAAATCTCCTTGGTCGTCGTTAGCTCTCACCGGAAATCGCCTGGAAAGAGCTCTCGCTTCACTCACAAATGCAAAGTGAACTCCTTATCCGGAGCCACTCCAATTTATAAGGCGGGGCATCGAAACGGTACGCCTTGAGAAACCAAACGGTGCATTAATGGCACTGCTCCGCATGAATGGACACCCCACGTGTCGTTCTAGGTGTGGACGTCCTGACAGCACGTGGGGCACAGAAGACAGAGCGTCGTTCAGTCCCATCACGTCACCTCGAAGTGGCAACCCTTGAGTTCCTGGGTGTCAGCTTCTGAGCAAAGAAGCGCAGAAGGACAAGGATCGAGCACCACCCTCTGCAAAATCACCGAGTGGTAGAATGACACTTTGATTACTGAGGAAAGTATCAAGTCCCCATCCGAAGAACTCTCATATAAGAACTTGGGGGACTCCTGTTTATACCAAAATGAACAGCCTATTAGGACCAGACATGTGGACTAGATTGAGCCTGGTAATGGTGGCCTTCGGCATCTTGCCCACAGATCCAATGATTAGGGCAACTTCCTTCTCTAAGACACGTGGCGTGCCCACAATCGATGTCCACAGTCCCACATCGAAATTCTAAACAATAAGCACACCTCCCATGGCCTATAAATAGGACCACTATCCCTAAATGAAGGTAATCGGAACTTACAGCATACAGCCTATTGTTCTGTCAGTCTAAGTTTACTAAATCCGTACTTACTGAAGCATCGGAGAGCCTTCGGCCGGTACTACACCGGTGCCTAAGGTCTTACCAAACGTTGTTATCTTGTAGATCACACGCTCCACAGAGACCCGAGGCATATCGAAGGCCTAACATCACTAAGTTGAGCCCAAAAAGTGCTGAACCATTTTTTCGCATCAACATGCTCCTATGTAGGCACCTATCATTAATGAATGACGTGCCTCTGCTGAAGCAAACATACAAACATGCTTTCAACCCATTAGGCATAATTTTATCAAGCCACCCAATTCTTCTTTAAGACCCCAAGATTGCCGAAAGGCATGCTAAAAACAGCTCCTGGATGGCAAACCAAAGCTGCAACTGCCGCACAGCACACAACTCCAAGTCAAAGGACCCCCCAAGCCACGACATGCTACAGAAGCAAAAAAGTACCCATGCTCAAAATAAGACATCCTAGCCAACCCACAAATGGCAAGCTGATGACAACAATCCACACATGCCGAAGATTTTATCAGGACAACCAAGGATACCATACGGCACCTAGCCACCAAATTGACCTAGACACCCAAAAAAGAATGGGTTCATCCCAGCAAAAAAAAACTATTACGCTCCAGCACTCCTGTAGCATGCCCATCTGGAGCAAACACAAAAAAGAATCAGGCCTCTCCTCGACTGAAAACAGATGCCATCTCTCACCTCTCGGTAAATCTCTCAAAAAAACCATGGTGTCATACCCACTGAATGACAAGTTAATAGCGGTTCTTGAGACCCCCATGGTGTCGCACCAATAGCAAGGTGCGGATCGGCAAATCGGAGTTATCCTACGGCACCCAACTACCAAATTCATTAAGGCACCCATCCACACCTTTGAAGAAACTCTCAAATAGCTACCCTTTCCATATTGATCGGCAACGCCCCTACTGATCGGAAGGGCAGCCACAGAACAAGTAGGATAGCCCCAAACCTTCACCCACAGATTAGCAGATCGATGATGGAGACTAGAGACATATCCAGACAATTGCCCCTCAGCAACACACGCTATGTCTTCTCAGTTTTCCTCCGTCTTTCAAATGTCATCAGGAAATCAGAAGGTGCTCAAACAACGTACCGTGCAAACGTCACATGCCAACCGCTGTCACATACACACTTTGCTTATGCCAATTCTGCATCAAAGACCCATCGATAGTTTTGTAAAGACACCCCAAGCAGTGGCAACTCCCTTACCATTCTGTAGGCCGTCAACCGATCGGCAAGTCGAAGACAGTTTGCAAGAGCCCTCATCCAATCTCGAAACCTATGCCATGAATATTGTAGATGAATAGCAGGAGCTATCTAGTTTCGAAATTCAAACCATGTGATCAATTGGAAGGCCAATATGATAAAATGCACACGGGAATTATCATTAGCATTTGAAGGTGCTGATGGACACCTTAAGCTACAACACCCTTTTACCTCTGTCCTACAACACCCATTGTTGTATCCATCGGTGAGAGCCACTCCCAGCTCATCTTAAGCTACTAATAGGTGCCACCGAATGAAACCTCTGCTGATAAACTCTGTCATGAAGAGGCCAAATATTGATTGTTAAGATGACTAGGCATAGACACCTAGCCAAGCACCGCTGAAACAAGCTTCCGAATGACAATTTCAGAAGCTTCACAAGGCCCCCAGATTGTCTCTATCAGCCCAGAACCTCTATTGCCTCGTACCTAAGATATCGATCATCACCCACTGGTCAAGACATCATGGAAGAATGCCTCCTACAGAAGCATTACAAGACCTTCCAAAATTGATCGAAAATGCCTCTATCGATCGGAAGGTGTGACGTCACACCTTCCGTTTGGTAGGCCGTCAACCGAAGGCATGAATCAACATGTCTTCATGCCACAACTAGGCCCCTCTTCGTGCATAGCCAACAACGAAGGCTCAGGCACCTTGCAGAACGGTAGGTGTGGTGCAAAAAATTGATCTTGCTAAACGACGCAAGGGCTTCCCATACTTACCTTCTCAAACCTTAGTACTTTACAATTGCCGAAGCCCACACAAAACGGCCCAGCCTTCTTCCCAAGAGCCATACACTTGCCCCAAATGTTGTGGTCACCCAAGGATCTCACCAAGATCCCAGAGCCCAAAACTTGGGCATTCTTGCTTAAAGATCTAAGAGGAGCAAACCTCTTTCTTGTCGAAGCCAAGAGGCCCAGCCCCTCAACATTTTTTTCGACACAAATAGCAGCTCAAGTTACCCACACACACAAAAAAAACAAAAAACAAAAAAAAAGGAAAGGGGGAGATTTTGCTTTATTATTTAAAGTATGGTGTGGGATTAACATCCATACATGAAGCAATTTTATTTATGAATTAATTTTACAACATATTTACATTTATTTAAAGTATGGTGCGGGATTATCGTCTATACCAGCAATCAATTTACCTTATGAATTTACTTTATCGCACATTTACTTTTATTTAAAGTATGGTGCAAAATTAACGTCTATACAACAAGCAATTTATTTTATGAATTAATTGTGCAGTATGATGAGTTTTACAGTATACAGAGATCAGGACTAGAAGTTCCTTGATCCTTATCATACAACTACATCAGGACCTGAAGATCCTTGATGATGATAATGATATGAGAGCTAGTAGTCTCTCCAGTACTATTTTTGTAAACATGAAGATCTTTGATCCATGACGTGTAAATAAGGACCTGGAGTTCCTTGATAATGTAACAGTATCGTATTGTTAAAAGTGTCGTACACATGAATAGTAACTATACTGGCAAATGTACTATACGCATGAATAGACAGATATTCACGACCTGATGAATGGTACTGTATACATGAATAGTGACATATGCATAAATATTAACCATTTTTGGGTAAACCGTCACTATATACAAAAGCGAACCTATAGTTCCTTAAACTCATGGATAAACAATTAAATGAGAAGCCAGAAGCTCCTCAAAACATGGACAATTATGAAAGGGCTTGAAGTTTCGAAATATGTACAGGAAATTATGAAAATGTCCATATCGTGAGAATATGTGATTTTGGCATGAAGTTCAAAATCTAAGAGTATTGAATGTCCATACCATGAAAATATATGATTTTGGCATGAAGTTCAAAACCTAACAATATTGAGAACCTGAAGTTCTAACAGTTAAATGGACAAGCCTTGAGATATTATTAATTGTGGTACACCACATATTTCTTTGGCATAAGAAAATGATGAATTTAATAAAGTTTGATTATGTTATATGTTGGTACCGTTACTAACCGAGCAACTAGCTATGCTGGATCAGCCACGTGCCATGCTTTGAGAGGTCATCACCTTAGCCAAAGAAGCATTACTGCAACTCACAACTCTAAGTAAAGCAAGAGGAGTCCCACATCGGAAAACTACAAGAGATGGTGACTCCCCCTCGCCTATAAAAGAAGACTACTCTCCCTTGAGAAAGGGACTCTCTCTTCTAGATCCTGGGCTGGGCTTTATCTTTAATGATGGGCTTCCCCCTTCTTATCTTTATATTTGGGTCCAACCCCATGTACAAATGTAAACATACATTATTATAAAGAAAACATATTTCTCCATGGATGTAGCCCATTCATTAAGGGTGAACCACGTATATCTCGTCTTCTTTATATTTATCGCTTGCCCAAATCTTCACACACATGTTGAAGGTCCTCACCTTCACCCATCATCCACCGTTCGGCAATACCTGTGGTGAGGCAACTATGAGTCATGAAGGCATCAAGATGCCGAATACACTACTCTTGTCGAAACCTACATTAGATAAGTGGCACATTCATTATTTTTACAAATTATTTAATATTGAAGGAACTTATTATTCTTGGGATCAAGAAAGGCCACGTGCATTATTTCTAAGAGATAAAGCACATTTTCTTATCTTATATTTTAGTATATTTGCAAGCAATATACTTTGTGAATTCCAGTTCTTATCTTTTTGACCCTTCTAAAAAGAGCATCAACATTATAGTCGACACCTCAAGGAAGCAATATATTTTGTGAATTCCAGTTGTTAAGAATACACTGTGAAATGGATAATATCAGGATAAACCTCAAAAGGATGAATTGAGGCTCCCCACATATTTTGTTATATTATGTGATCTGGGGCACAAGCCCATGGATCCAAATATATGAGAGATCCCGAACCTGAAGTTTTCGGTATATAGTAGTTAATGCTCTTCACTACTATATTGCAATATTATCATGACTTTTACTCAATTTATATTTCATGCCCATTTGAAAAGGGCAAATAAATTCTGAGGTCGTGTTTAGCTCGGGCAAGAAGTTCCGGACTCACATGTAATTTGAGAGATTTGATGTGGTTATTTGAATTTATAAGGCACAAGGTTCCAAACCGTCATTTTGAAAAGACGTAAAAACCATAGGTGCAAATTTAAGAATTTTTCCAATTATTATAGCAGGAAAGGAGCATACAATAGATAGATTCTTTTCACATGCAAGGAAGGAGCAGGCTCCATAAAATCTATAAAATTCCATTATGTTTTGGAAGCCTCTGAAGGAAGAGGACGACACCTTTTAAACTTAGCCATGAGTCTCTCGTGGTCTCCCAGAATCTTTTCATTGGAAATTTGCAGCATGTCAAGCCTTGTTTGAGTATCAATGGAGTATTAACTCACCAGTTTCAACAAGGCCTTATTTTCCTCTTTAAGTTTTTCAACCTCTTGCTGAGACTCATGAAGCATTCTCCGAAAAGACGAATTTTCAGTGTTAAGCTCCTGAATCTTGTTTGCTCTGGCAGGCAAACGATCAGCCATGTTCGAAATAAAAGCAACACTCTAAATGCTAAAAGCCTTTGAGTCATCAATAGCCTCTTCGTCAGACCTTCTTGTTAACAATATTTCATCCATATGAGTAAGGAAATTCCTAGCTACTATGACAGTAGTTGTATCATTCATCATCACCGAATCATTAACCGTGAGATGACGATTTTGGGACACAAAGGATGGACGCCAGACTTTGGCATCACAGGTTGTTTTAGGAGCAACATTTAAATTAAGATGCTTTGGAGGAGAAGAAGAGGAAGCCATTATAAAAAGGGTTTCGAGGAAAGTCTTTAAAAAGCTGAATTTTCAAAAAATGGAAGGGAGTTAAGTTGAATCGCAATTACTCTAATTAGGCCTTGTATAGGCAATATCTATAGACGAAAATGTGGCACCGTTTCTAGGATCCCAATATTTTCTCGGATCCCCATATTCTCCTTTTTCTTTTTCAAATTTCAAAACTTCACGTGACCTCCATTAATGTCTGTCGGAACTTTAGGGGTTTCAAGGATTATTTTCGTCAAAGCCGATCTTGTTTTGCGGATTTCACGGAGTTACTTTTTCAAAAGCATCTGGAGAACCTCACAAATGTCTGTGGTTAATTTGAAATTCACCGGTTCTACCTATTCCTCTAATTTGTGTACAAATATGTTACTAACGAAATCTTCTTTGTAGAATACATTCATTTTTCTCCAGTTTTCTCCATATCTAGTGATGCAATATTCACTTGTTTTTCCTATCAGTGAGCACTCGATGTGCTTGAGAAGCGAGACTATCTTTGAACATCCATTCAAGAAGCGAGACTATCCCTGATCACGTTTCGGTGGTGTCGGGGAATTGTAAAGACGACCACATGCTCTAATCTCCTGAAGTTCTTCTATGCTAGGATAAATGAGAGTTTGTTGTCTGTTACCTTTCCTTCCCTGATTGCTTACCTACCTTGCAATCAATATCACAATTCTTTGTATCTTTTCTTTCTTTTATAACTCTATGTTCACAAGGGATTTTATTTCTTTAGAAAGAACATCTGAAGAAAAATTCATGTAGTGATCCTAACACTGAGGGTTATCTTTCGACAGAGATAGAAGAATTATGATTTTTGCTCTTGCACGATATAACTAGATCATCAAGCATTACATTGTATTTGCTGAGCTGATCCAAGCTTGAATGATATTTGAGCAAAGTTTCTCCCACCTAAGGATGTAAGCAAGACTTGTGTTATTTCATGCATGTACTCTTATTTTGATATTTTGTACGACATCCTTAAAGGTAACCAAATGGGGAGACAAGGTCGTTCCAGAAGAACACCATGCAAAGGACCATTCCAAAAGAATGACTTGCATTACAGATCGTTCCAGAAAAACGACTTGTATTATGACCATTCCAGAAGATTGGCTTGTATCATTCCGATATGTATTCATGAATTATTAATGCAATTTTCACAAATTGCAAGTTGAATATATTGATAATACACTACATAGATTAAAGTCCCATAAGAATAGAACATGGGTATAGCAATGATCAATATGATGCACGCTTATTGCGTAGAAAATGATATGGATTAAGTCCTGGAAGGACAATCCATTAACATGTCAATATTAATATGGTGCACACCTAATGCATAGTAAATTATATGGTTTAAAGTCCCAGAAGAACAATTAATTGACATGTATGTATTAATTTGTGGCATGCCTGTAGCATGACAGATATATGGGTTCTAAATGTTCCAACTCCTTGAATGGAGATTATCCACGCCCTACTATAAAATAACGCTTCATCGGAGGTTAAGATCCACATAATTCATCTTATTAGAGATGTCTGTCTAGAAAGAGATAATAAAAGCCCTTTGAGTGGCTTGGGTACCCAAAAGCAAAGAAACGCTTACAATTAATGCATGTGCATGCACATGAGAATGGTGGAATCACGAATTGATGAATGACAATTTTTGATTTTGGAGTAGCTACTCAAATCATCAATGGGCTGTGTTGATTGGAACCACGTTCTATTATTAAATGTTGACAATATCATTGGCCAAAAATGGAAAGAGGCAATTCTATTACAGATGAGAATGAACGTGAAAGAACAAACCCATAGTACAAACCCCAAAAGATGTTAACGCTGAAAGTTATACTTGGGGTGTTCGGAATAAAAAAGGAATATACTCAATTTATATGACACAATGTTTCTGGTAGAAACAAGGAATGTTGAGGTTCTCCATATTTACAAATGCAATCATGCCTTCTTTTTACACATTTACGGAGACCAACATGTTATCTTTAAGGGTTATTAAATGCACGAAGCATATCGCCAGAAGCGATTCTCTAAAAATGTACAATCAGAACAAATAGCTAGATATAAAGCTATATAATATCTCATGAAGTGTAATCTCTTAAATAAAATCCCTAAAGAATTGTAATTGCATGAAGTAAGTCCCTAAAGGACATGTGCCTGGAGCACAAATTTTGTACTCAATATTAATATGGTTGCAATACATTACAACTTCTGAAGAGTTGATAATTTATTAAAACTCCTGAAGAGTTCAAGAAATATTTGTCTCGGCCTGAAGATCGAGACATTTTTATGTGGATTATCCGTTGGGCACTTTTTTCAGATAGAGCTCAGCTCCATCACTACCATTTTGGGATGATGTGAGACATATTTGATACTATCTCCGCATAAAACAATATACGGGCATATTTTTTTTCAAGTAACTTACAAATAGCGCAGGGTTTGTTTGATTCACGGACTCTGTAAATTTCTATGGTTTACATAGAAATAGCTCACTGGAAATATATTTGCTTACTCAACTACATGAATTGTTGATGGCTACATCATTCACTCAGTCCGAAAGATCTTCCCTCTAGAAAGACAATCATGAAGATATCAAGGGTAGATGTTCTTCACGGGGAGCATCCAACAATATTATAAGATTGACTCATAGAAGCAGTATCAACTACGACATTCAAAAAGATGATCAATAGTATGGCTTAAAAGATATTTTGCCAAGCAATCAAATTGAAGCATGCAAAATAAGGGGAAGCATTCAAGAGTCCTGTAACACAGGACATATGCGTGTTGTACTCTTTTTTCCTTCAATTAGGGTTTTTCTCACTGGGTTTTTCCTAGCAAGGTTTTAAACGAGACAACATGAGCGCATTTAACATTACCCTTATGTCCCAAATAAAGTTGTAATCTTTTTGTTTCGCTTATGTCCCAAATAAAGTGGGACAAAATCAAGCTTAACGAAGCAGTTAATCTCTACTATTATAAAGGGAGGCTGAAAATAGTTGGGGTTAGAGGCTTCACCAAAAAACAATTAGACAAACTTTTCAATTTTGACTAAAGAACATCAACAACAAATCATGGACTATATGAGGTAAAATTGATCAACGACATATGATATTTGTGCATATAAAATACAATCGTAGTACATGAAAAATAATCCCTCGATTTTTTTGTGCCGCATGACCGCTAGATCAGCATGGCTTTCAAGAGTTTCAAATTCAAAGTTGAAATCGTATCAATATTATTCTTGTTACACGCCTCAGTAGGTGGTGTAACATCATGGACTCAACAAGCTTTTCGGAGGATGTAATTCGTAGGATCATTGGGATCATCAACCATATTCTTTTTTGTTGTTGCAGTGGAGCCTCTAGAGCTACAACACTGAGAATTTGACATTGAAATGTATGTTGTAGTGTTCAAAGATATATGTTGAAAGATGGAATGTTGGGGTTGCTAGAACTCCAAGTGTTGCAATTGCTATATTGGAAATAGAGGGAAGCAAATAAGATGAGATGAACAGGTAGTGTGTTGAAGTACCTATTTATTATCTGATGAAGTAGTGTGTGTTGTAGTGTAGGAGTAGTTGGTAGTTGAAATTTTTATTACATGATCAACCTTCAATTGACATTCTATTTATGGCAAGTAGTTGAAGTGTAATTGCATAACATTTCATTTGTGGTAATGAATTCAATGTAGAAGACTTGTTCGTAGTTACATAACATTCCATTTGTGAATGAATTTAATGTACATGACTTGTTTGGTGGTAGGTTTCTTACACTTTAAATTCAATGTAATGAATTTCGATCCTCATAGTTTTTCGGTGTAATCGGCTTATGGAACTAGTACAAGTACGGTTCATACATTGGTAGAGGTAGTTCAATTGGATCACGTGAATTCCGGCATAGAACGCACCATGAGAACCGATTTCAGACAATTTTCACTTGATAACCCATGTCTAATGGCTTTCATCTTATCACTTGAGGAACCACGTGTAATAGTTTTAGCATTATCACTTAGTTCACTGATTATAAGAGCAAGTCCAGCAACTAAGGCTGGACTCGGGTTGGGGGGAGTTTGGGTGAAAAAGGCGTTTCCAGCAACAAAATGCAGCCCGGGCAAGAGGTGAGGACCACCAGACTGGGCTGGCCCGAGGTGGAGTTCGGCCCGAGGGCTGGTGATGTCATTGCTGACGCCAGCTTGGCGTCAACCCTTCAGCTTTGAATTTTTTTTTATTGTTGGCGCGTGCATTGCACATGCCAACGTTAAAACAAAATTCAAAGCTTGCACTACAATAGCCACCAATGGCTAGCTTCCACGTGTCGGCATCTTGGCTCTCTGATTTGATTTTTTCCTTCAATCCAACGGCAGCCAATTTTTCTGTAATAAAAAATTGAAAAAAAAAATCGAATTTTTTTTTAAAATACAAAAAAAATACTGAATTTTTTTTCATTAAATACCAACCAATACTCTTCGCTTTTAACATCAAACTCATACATTTTCTTCTCCTTCTACTATTATTCATTTTCTACTCAATATTTTTTTCACTTTCAAGTTGTATTTTTCTCTATCATATTATGGGTTCTTCTAGTGAAACCAGAGGGGGATGGAGCATGATGGAAGATGTTAGCTTGTCTGAGGCTTGGGTCCAAGTTAGTCATTGTCCCGTAACGGGCAATGAGATGAAATTCTGTCATATGTGGAAAAAATTCTTCAGGAATTTTGTGAAAGGGCAATTGGTTCGAATCGTACGAAAATGACATTATCTAGTAGGTGGAAAATTCTTAATAAAGAGTTGGCGAAATGGAGAGATGCCTTGGCAAAAATGATGGACAACCATAAAAGCAGGGAAAACCTTAACAGTGAGGTAAGGTTATTAATTTCTGTCATATTAATTTTTATTTAAATGTTTTCTTGCAATATTTATATTTTGTTTTGCATTTCTAAAAAATTGTTAAAATTTATTGCATTTCCATTAATTTTTTTTTATTTTATACATGTTGCATTTTTTTAAAATTTATTGCATTTGCATTATTATTTTTTTACATGTTGCATTGCCAATATTATTTAAAGTTTGTTGCATTTCCATTATTATTTGTTTATACTTGTTGCATTGCCAATATTTTTTTTAAAGTTTCTTGCATTTGCATTTTTTTTTTAGATTATGCAAGCACAAATGTGGTTTGGTGCTACTGGGTAAGGCAAAAAAAGTTTCAACCATACCCTATGTTGGGAGGTGGTGAAGAATTGTAAGAGATTTCGAATTATTTCAACGGGTCCGATGGTAGTGTTGAATGAGACTCCACTCTATGAGACACCGGCATCAGATTCACGTATGGATTCCCCGATGAGTCAAGACTCACCCATCGAAAAGGAGCCAAGGCCTATTGGGAGGAAGGGGGCCAAGGCGAAGAGATGGAGTAATTCTACCAAGAATGCATCTAAATTTTTGGAGGAACTTTCAAAGCACCAAGCCATGAGAATTGAAATGGACATGAAACAACAAGAGCACGATAGGGCAATTCAACTAGAATATGCAAAAGAAAGGGAGTATGTCTGCAATGAAAGGGAGTATGTACGCCAACAAAACATTGAAAAAAAAGATCGGGAAACCATGGCAATGGATACAAACCGTATGTCCCCTGAAACATAACAATTTTGGAAGCTAGAACGAAAGGATGTTATGAGACGAAGACTTTTTCGTGATGATGGACCTAGCAACATGGATTGGTTAAATGATCAAAACCATTAAGTTAGTTAGCTTGCCTTTCATTTCATTGTATTTTTTGTTTTGTTTAAAAAATTAGTGGTAATTCATGTATTTTATTTTATGAGTTGTATTGATTTTCTTTTAGTGAATAAAGAAAATATATAAAAAAATTCCTTTTTATTCAAAACATTCCATACATAAAAAGCAAACCACAACCAAAGCATAAAAAATAAACAAACCACAAATAAAGCATAAAAAAAAAAAACAAAGCATAACTAAAAATACAACATAAACATAATAAATTAAAAAAATATCTTCACTTCATTTCATTCAACTTCATTGCTTTTCACTGCCCACAAATGCTCCATCAAGTCAACTTGACGACGTTCATGAATATACGACGATTGCATCTCTGTGTAGCGCTCAATCATACGGGGCATGAAACTACCATCTCTAACCAACGGTTCATACTGCACTGATTCTCTATTTGGCCCCATGGGTTTTTCATAAATTCGTGTTAAGGCCGTGTTCATGGGATCTAGTTCATACACTTCATCTGCATCGTAATCATACTCATCTTCCACAATCATGTTGTGGAGGATGATACAAGTCATCATTATAGTCTTAAGCACCTCCTCGTCAAATAGACGTACCGCGCCCCTAATAATAGCCCACTAGGCTTGAAGGATATTAAAGCACCTCTCCATATCTTTTCTGTACACCTCTTGATAGGCAGCAAAAAAATTTTGCTTATGGATCGGGGATGTGGAATTGATTTCACAAATGTTGTCCACCTCGGGTAGATGTCATCAGCTAGATAATACCCGTTCTAGTAGACGGTATTGTTGATTTCATATGTGATGTTTGGGGCTTCACCTCTCAAAACATCATTGAACACCGGGGATTGACCCAGGACCTTCAAATCGTTTTGAGATCGGGCAACTCCGAAGAAGGCGTGCCAAACCCATGTATCAAAACCAGTAACTACTTCAAGGATGATACTTTTCTGGCCTTTCCTATTCCCGTAATCCCCTTGCCAAGCAGTTGGACAATTTTTTCATTGTCAGTGCATACGGTCAATGCTACCAATCATTCCAGGAAATCCACGAGACTCAGCTTTTTGTAGAAGCCATTGCAGGTCCCTGGCAAAAACTTGTTGAGCCTATTCTTAACAACTAAAATGAGTTATTAAAAACAGCAACTTTAATTCTCGCAAGTGCACGAACCGTTTATAGTATAGCTTATGTAAATACGAGGTTGATCCCACGGAGAATGGTAACTTAGTTTCAAGTTAAATTACTTAGAATGCTAGAAAAACATAGAACAAAGAAACTGACTAACTAGCTAAAGGCAATGTCGAATTCAACAATTCCTCATGCTAATTACTCAAGGTCTAGGATAGAATCCTAGCACCACACACTCACTCAAAATAGGGGGGTTTTGTTGTTGAAATGAAAAGAAGAAAGTGAAATGAAAGTACTCGAAAGTAAATACTGGCAGCAATCAACAAGTTGTGAAACAATGATTGAGATGTGTTAGAGCCTTGGAATCCACCACTAGTTTTCCTATCCAAGTTATGAATGCATAGAAATTGACTCAAGCTTGATCAACAATAGATTATCGCATACAAGCCTATGGTATTTAGGTGCAAGATGCATAATTCTCCTAAGGCATGTAATCGTGCATGGTATCTACACAACACGTGATCTCTAATATGCAACCTAAGCATGGTATCTACTTAGAATAAAGCATACAAGAGTCATTAAGCTCTATGAGAATATGATAATCACACAAGTCCTAGAACATGGTATCTGTCCTAATCAACCTATGGTTATTAACCCCTTGAATGATTCTTAGGCCATTCATGTGTTGCTTGGGAAAGGAGAGTAGAATTGGTGAATCTAAACCCCTTCCCAACATGTGCTAGATGCATAAAATCCTAGTTAGCTACTCCAAGAAAACATACATCAAGCACATAATAAACTGGAGATTAACAACTTGATAATGAAAGCAAGGAAATCAATTAACTATAAAATCATCCATAACATTGAATATTCATGACTAGGGCTTCATCCTAAGCCCTAACTAAGTGGATTAGTTAAACATAACTATGAATACAGAAAATAAGAAATACATAGATAGGATAAAGAGAAGAGAAGAACTAGTTGGCAACAATGTAGTTCCCACGACAGCTCCAAGTTTTCTTCTCTCTTTGTGGTGAATCTAAATGTGTGTATGAGAGTAATGGATGAAGTGAATGTGTGTGTTTGCCTCTCTCCCTTGAATGAGTGTGCAGCTCTCTATTTATAGAGTGCAATTTCGTGCTCCCCTTTGGCTGGTGAAGCACACCTCTCTTAGCTACTCCCAACTGCTCCAGCTACCCAATACATGCTTTGGTGGACTTTTCCTGGTTTCTTTATGGAAAGCTTGACTTTTGTTCATCTTTCTGAGTTCCTGAGCTGATTTGACTCCCATGTGCGACTGCCCATGTGTAACACGTATGTAGCCACATTAAATGTGATGGCAGCCAAAATGACATTTTTGTGAACTTGGTTCAGTCTTTGATGTACTGAGGGCTCCAGATTTATCCAATTGGGCTGAAATTTGGAGATGTTATAATAGACACCCATTGGAACAACTTCTATCAAGGATGTTTCCTCATCCGACCTGTGTAAGTTGCTAAAATGAGGCCTGCAAGATGACCTACGAAATTGAACTAACAAGGAGTGTGGCCCAAATTGGGTTTGTCTTCAAGCTCATATTCCTCTTATCCCAATGAGCCCTTAACAAGCATGGATTGCATCAAATGTGATATCTTGTTGTCTTAACCTACAAAACAAACAAAAAGAGGTAAGTGACTTAAAAGACAAAGAAACTAAGTGAAGTCACTAAGTAAAGAAGGCATGCGAATGTATGAAATTATGAACTTATCATAGGTTTGCGCAGGTAGTCCCTGGTGTACAGAGTTTCCACTGCATCACAAAATCGCACCAAGTTCTCCAAAATAGTGGACTTCCCCCATCCGGGCAATCTCATCCACCTGATCAACAGATGACCCATACGCCAACATTCGTATCACAGCTGTGAACTTTTGCTTGGGAAGAAGCCCCAAATTTCCAGCACAATTTTTCTTTTGAACAAAGTATTCATCATAATTGCAAATATCATGCATTACTTTATTGAACAAATGGGGTTGCATTCTATATCTCTCTCGAAAATGAATATCAGAGTACAGAGAATGTGGGATAAAATAATCTTCCAGAAGATTCTTACCCCGAGAATGTCTATGTTTATCCACATTCGGGCCACGGCCTTCTCGTAAACCACGACGGCTCTGGTTTTCTTCCTCCAGCAAAGCAACTACTATGCCAAGTTGCTCATCTAGTTCTCTCTGCGCCCTTTTGCTTGCAGCTTGTCTACGCATTTTTTCTCTAATTTCTCGCTCTTGCCTCTCCAAAACCTCTTGCATGTCTGCTATTGAGAATTGAGAATGAAATCTAAAATTTGAGAAATGGAAATGTAGAGAAGATCTGGTGTGGGAGGTATGAGCTGAGCCTCTAGTTTTATAGAAAAATTTAAACATATAGATATGACACGTGGCGCAATCTTATAGGGTGAAAATCTTATCTGAAATTTGAAATTTGAAATTTATCTGAATTTTGAAATTTGAAATGTATCTGAAATTTGACATTTTAAATTTATATGAAATTTGAATTTTGAAATGTATCTGAAATTTGAAATTTGAAATTTATCTTAAATTTGAAACCAAAAATTTTATCCGATATGAATAGTATTGACGCATAGGAACCCAAAAATCTTATCCGAAAATATTATCCAAATTAATTGTTTAAGTAAACAAAGTTGTGAAAAAAACAAAAAAATGAATAGTATTTGCCATGGCAAAGGGCAATTGCTAGAAACACACTTTGCTGGGGGGACTAGGGCAGCCACTACTCACGTGAATAGTAGCTGCCCTAGGGATCCCCTTGCCATGGCAAAAGGCTAACTGCTAGAAATGCTCTAAGGGGTGTGGCACCACGAGGTACCTTGCCCCCAAACATTTTCTTCACAACAATCTTATTCTTTTTTTGCATGGATTTGTGGATAGAGAATTGAAGTGAGAATGAAAGTGTGATGTAATTGCATGCATCACTTGTGCATGTAAGGGGGTAATTTAATAGCACCATGTTGGTTGATGCAATTGTACAAGCTATATGTGGTGGTTGGTTGAACTAATTTCATTTCTCATAAACAAAACCAAATATCTAATGTTGTACAATTCCAATTAAATGTTTCTAGGGTGATTAAGCAACATGTTGTGGACGTGAGTGAGGGTGGTTGAAACAATTGACCAAGTGATGAAGCAGGTGCTTAATTGGTTGAATTATTTTTTTTGGTCATACACCAATTCAATTTGTTGTGAACCATGTTGTGATGTAGAGGGAGTGTAATATATTACCTTCCTATATAATATGACATCTCATTCATTACATAAATGAAGTTGAATTGTATAAGATATAAATGTGCTAGTTGGTAGTTTCATACTATTTCATGAAGATAATTGGTTAATTTAATTCTTTTGTCATAGAGCATGCTAATGAATCTTTGTACAATATGATGTTCTAAGTAACTGCTTGCTTCCTATGATGTGTGTGATACATTTGACATGAAATTCAATTATGCAAGCAATGAAGGTGGTTGTTGGTTGAATTCATTTGCTCTTGTCATCAATCAATTCAAATGTGACATGTTACTTCGAATGAATGTTAGCTTGTTTTAGCATTATAAAGGTTTAATAATATAGTTTATGATGAATTTTGGGGCTGTATCTTATTTAGGTTAATTAATGAAATCATTTTAGTCATTGTATTTTAAATTCAGCAATTGGATTCATTTTTTCCTTTTTAAAATTTTATAGATTAAATCTCAAGCGTCGATGTAGATGTAGTTAGTTAGAATGATTTCAATAAGGAAAAATTCGAATTTCGTAAATAAAATTTTAATTTTGCTTGTGCTTTGGTTGAATGATGGTGGGACACGACGCATACATTCCACTTTGATGATGTCGGGAAGATGACGATGACTCCAATGGACTTCAGTGCCATCACAGAGTTTCGCATGTCCGGCAAGCCCTCAAAATATAACATGAATATGTAGAAAAAGAAGAACTAGTTAGAGAAACGGTTTGGGAAACAAGTTTCTCAAATGGTTGATATGAGGAGGATTATGTATGATAATTTGTCTACAACATATCGGTATAAAGAGCGTGCAAATGAAAATGAAGTTGACTAAACAAGGATTTTCATCATTTTCTTGATTGGCTCAACATTCTTAAATGATAAGAACCAATTCGTTATCCTGCACTACACGCCATTCTTGAAAAGGTTGATGAAATTCAGGAGTAAAATTGGGGGGTGCGGGGTTGCCATGCATCTATAGGTTTATAGATGCCTATTATATGGGTAAGAACGAGAGTATCGACGGTTATTGGAGGGCTTGGAAGGTAAGCGCAATTGAATGTTACGACCATAGTTTTCATTTTTTATTTTTTTATTTAAAACTTAATGACAATTGAGTTGTTATTCCTTTATAGGTATGGGGGTGCGAATACCTCAAGTCCTTTGCACTTTTGAGGCCTAATGGCAATGCTAATACATAGTCCCGGGCATTAAGGTGGTTAGGCTCAACTTCAAAGCACGATTTACACCACAATTTGCAAGAATTCCAAGTCACTATGCGGCATATGACAAATGATCATGTGGGTGACCTTTTATTTTGCATGATATATTTTCCATCAATTCATGGTTATTACCAATGTTAATTGAGATTGTAACTCGCAGGTTGTCTGGCATCCATGGGGGGTGGATGAATCAAAGCTCCTTGATTGGGCCAAAGAGTATGACTGCCACACGACAAAGAATTCTACTTCAAGGACCAGCTGGATGTGCTTGGTACTTAGGAGAAAGAGTCGCAATTCAGATCTTGTGGATAAGCAAACCCAATGTCTCAAAGCTTTCACCAAGGACCATGCTTTTTGATTATGAGCTTATCGAAAACGACAATTTAGACAAGGCACTAAATTGCTCATCTGCTAAAAAAATTGGTTGAAGCCATCGTGAATTATGCCAAATACAAAGATCAATATGTGAAGTACAGTAATTATCCGGACATGAAAGTTAAGGTGCACACATTGACCCTTTCATTTTGTTATATGTGTTGCCCAAGATGTACTTAAACTTTATTCAAACATTTTCTCTTAATCTCACAGGAAAAGGAGCAAGGTGTGACAGTTGAAACCATTCTTCTTCAAGCTTGATCAGTGAAGATACTGAGCTTCACGAATACTAATGAAAGCAAGTTAGTATGGATCCCTTGGGGACAAGAAAGCCCTGACCTGCTGTTACCCAAGAAAGTGACGCATGTAAGTAGTTTAATTTACAACATAATATGATTTTGATCATAGTTTATTTTCACTTCGAACTCTATGCATTGTATAGGCATTGTAGGTAACCGCGGAAGATGCTACCTACCTACTAGAGCTCATTGTTGGGTTGAATGATTTGGTTTTTTCAACATGTATGCAAGCATCAAGTGAGATTACACTACTCTGAAAGGATAATGCGAGTTGTTTTTTTATTTTATTTTAATATTGTGTATTCCATAACCTTGTTGGAATATCATTTCCCAATCATAAACATTTATCTTGTTCTTTTGTAATAGGAAACATTGAAGGGAGCAGAACATTTCGATGAGGGATTTTCATATAGAGGTGGTGATGATGATGACGACGATAAACCGCCTCTACTCTAGGTAACTAATCACAAAATCTCCAGACAAGATGCCGCTTAACTCGAAAAGACGACTAGGACCATAATGGTACACACGCCGCCTTAAACCAGTCCTCATCACGCTGCCGAGACAGAGAGATGCGGAAGACCCACCGTTGGGTATGGCATGACCAACGTGAATGCGTTAAGACGAAGAAGGATACCTCACGTGGCTAGGTTTTTTTTTCTCCTTAGACATGCCTTTCTCTCTCTCTCTCTCTCTCTCTCTCTCTCTCTCCTCTCTCTCTCTCTCTCTCTCTCTCTCTCATGATTCATATTGAGAAAACATCATTAGCAGGTTTTCAGGTCACTTAATTACAACCATTGGATAAGAATAATCAAATCTAGCCATCCACACATCTGATGTATCAATAGAAAAAATGCATATTAGAATTTTGGCATAAAAAGTGGATCGTATTGAACACTGTTTTTGTGAGAACCTATAAAAAATATATATATATATATAATTATTCATACTACATATTAATTATTTATTAATATGAAATTTTCTTATTTAAATATTTATTGTGAAGATTTATATGTTATTAAATCTTAAGCCTAGTATGAGATTATCCCCTTAGTTGAAAGATGACACCATTCTTGTTCTCCACGTGTAGAGACTTAGAATTGGTTTTAATCAAATCATCATTGCCATGCCACTTTGCATGCTAGTAACAAGTGATGTTGTGATATCATTGGTCAAAGGTGGATGACTCACATTATTTCTTTATCTTTCTATCTTATCTTTTAGAGGTCGTGTTGTGATATCATTGGCCAAAGGGGGATAAGTCATATTATTCCCTTACTTTTCTGTCTTATCTTTTGGTGGTTTAAAATATTGTATATATCAATATTATTTGGGTGCATCCATAGCCTCTCCTATAAGTATCATGCTTCCATACTTCAATCATTCATTCCAATCCTTTAAGATAGATTTCTACCATGAAGTAGTGTTAGAGAGAGAGAGAGAGAGAGAGAGAGAGAGAGAGAGAGAGAGAGAGAGAGAGAGAGAGAGAGAGAGAGATAAGGAAGAAAAAGAAACAAGATGAAGAGCGTGTGTGTTTGTCTTGCAATATTTCATACTTATCATGATGAGTAGATTATGTAATATGTTCTAAAGTTCTTATTTTGTGATAAATGTGAAAACCATGGGTTTATTCTATTTACAAATCTCTCTCTATTTTCAGTCAACATGTCTAATTTGTGCAATATTTCACACAATATATATTATTTGGAGTTTTTGTGAAGTATGTATTATTCATAGTACATGAGAATTCAGTGATGGGGTATCCGAAGGATAAATATACCAGACGAGGATAGAGGGCAGTGAGGCAGATAGGGGTCACGTACACTGGGTACAATTTGTGAAGGATAACTAAGATATGAAGTAATGATATGATATAATTTGGATTGTGTATCTTTTTATTATATTTTTCTAGAGTGTTTAAAATGACATTGCTTGATTGACATATTACATAATCTACTCACTGAGTGGTGGTTTGCTCATCACTCACCTATTTTGTTTTTCAGATCAATTAGTGGGCAAGACAAAGCCGAAACTAGAGAAGTTGGATTAGTTTAGAGTGATAAACTTTTATTTATATCTTGTCCACTTGTAAGATTATTATAATTTTTTTAAATAAATATAATGGTAATGTATTTTAACCAATTTTTCAGTCTTTTATTTATTTATTTCAATTCACGCACCTTGATTCTAGAATATTCTTTATTTCTAGAACGGGGTGTGACAGTTTTTATCAGCGTGACCTACTATTTGTCATAATATGTCAAGAGCCCAAAAAGACTCCATCATAGAAAAATACAAACATAAAAAATAGGGTACTTTTCATTTTACTATGTTAAAGTTTATCGAGTTTCAACCCTCAATGCATCAAGTTTTTTTCATCTCAGTTGCATACATAACGTTTATTTTCATATCACTTTCATACATTTGTTAGCTTGACTGCCATGTTTTAAATAATGATGTGGCAATCAATATTTGCATGTGGACTAAAATAATGAAAACTTTAAAATATATATAAAAAATATTCTACTACTACCCCACCCCACCCCCCCCCCCCCCCCCCCCCCCCCCTCTTTCTCTCTCTCTCGAATTACCCAAACAGAAAATAAAGAGAAAAATATATCTCGCCCTATATCCTCCCAACCCACCTGCCTCCTTACACACCCTTGCCAACCCATCCAGTTAGCCAATGTAACCACTAACAAAGCCACCTAATCAATGCATAATTACATATAATTTTTACCCTTCTAGCTTATGATTTTGTTATGTTTTTAGTTAAACTTGTATTTTTAATCTCTTTTGTGTTTGTTTTGGTGTATTAAGCTTTGGGACTCATTTAATGCATTTTGGAGTCAATTTAGCTCAAAATTGTGTCTACAGATTAGTCAACTTCACGAATTGGATTGTACATGCTAAAGAAGAACTAGATAATAATCCATACATCATTGGAAATATGTGGAAGTTTAGTTTTTGGAGCATTTTACGGTTCATGATTCTGAGTCTTATAAAGGAAGTTATGCAAGTTTTGGCACCTTAAGGTGAAATTCGGCAGCATCTGCGTTATTGTTCCAAAAATAATATTTCAAGGCAATTCTGATTTTTCCTTGAGTTGGACTACATATGGTTGGAAAGATAAGACAAAGATTCAAGACCCATATTTTTTGCAGAATTTTATCAATAGAGGACCAAGTCCAAAACAAGCCTACAAATAGACTGCAATGCATTGTCATGCATGACATATGCATGAGCTAATTGTTTTTGGTGGGGAAGTTAGGTAAAGTTGGTGAAGTGGGTGTGTAGATAGAGGCAATACTCAAATCAGATTTTAACTTCCCTTATGCCTATAAATATTGAGGTTCTACAAGCTTACAAACACACCCCAAGGGGGGAGCTCTCAAACACTTCTCTAGAGCTCCTCTCCCTTATCTTCCTCAAACACTTCTCTTAGGCCTATAAATAGTGAGGTTCTCTCTTTTCTTAGTTGCACTTTCTTTTTCATTATCATGTAATTTCTTATTTTAAGTTTTCAAGTTTGATTAGTTTCCAAGTTTCAATTACGGTTCTTGTTCTTATTCATTATGCTTATAAGTTAATATGCTTGTTCGAATGATTCATCACCATTAAAACTTGTATGTTAGCTATCTTGGTTGGAATTAAGAGTAGACATCATATGCTTTAATTCGAATTGAACTATGAATAGGAAGAATATGTACAGACATTCTACAACAGGGATTAGATACATGTTTGGTTGTTTAAAACATTCTTCTATGCTTAATGGATTTCTAATGCTTAATTTAGGTTCGACAACAAGGATCTAATTAGAGAATTAGGAATACAAGGTTAGGACCAGACACCATGACTTAATCATACTTTAGTTAGAATCAATTTGAGAATCTGAATTGAACTTGTTAACTTATTTGCTTGAGTTAGTTGCTTTTCTTTCTTTCTTGTTTTATGTTATTTTCTTTCTTGTTTTCTAGTTTGTGTAGGGAATCAAATTGAATCAATCTATCATCAATCCTTGTGGGATCGACATTGCACTTACTACCGAACGGCTCGTGCACTTGTGAGTATCACAAGTTGAGGATGCAGCTGAATCGATTTTGGAGCAACTGAATTGACGACACCGCCACCCAAACCCACCTTCCCAACCCCTCAATCTTGCAACCAAACTAGTGCGATCCCAAACCCATACCCCAATCTTGCTCACATCACTCACACTCAAAACAAAATAATCAAACCCACAACTAGAAAACTTCATCAATTTCAAGAAACAAATTCAATTGAACCTAACCCATCCATATTTTAATGAATTTTGCGAGAGAGAGAGAGAGAGAGAGAGAGAGAGAGAGATTTCAGGGTTTAGAGTGAGAGTGTTGGTTTGTGCTGGCTTGGCTATCGAATGTACTGTAATGATTTGGTGGCGGAGATGAGAGTGAGAGAGAATGTGTGGTGGTTCAGGTGACTTTGTTGATGGTTAGGGTGGCTTGGTGGGGGTGTGGGAAGTGGCAGGTGGGATGGGAGAAGATATAGCGAGATATATTTTTTCTTTAGGATTTTGGAAATTGAGGGACTAAAATGCAAATCAGGTCAAAGTTTAAGGACCATTGAACCTAAAAACTTTTATTTATTTATTTTATGTTTGGGTCTTTCGAAGAGAGAGAGATAGAGAGAGAATTTTTTTTTAAAAAGATTTATAAGTTTAAAAAATATATATTTTCATTATTTTAGTCCACATGGCAAAATATGGGTGAGTTGCCATGCATTATTTAACAAAAAAATGACGGTCAAACTAATTGAGGTATGAAAGTGATATGAAAATGCACGTTATTTATGGCGACCAAGCACTTAAATATCGATATTATCGATACATTTTTGCCGATATTATGTTTTCGTGATAATATTGAAGGCGATACTTTCCTTCACGCGCAAGTAGACGAGAATGAAAAATGCTGAGAAAGCGCTTGCACACATAAGGGGATTTAAACCCCTTCCATTCCCTTCCTCTTGCTGAGCCTTCTCCAACACACTGCAAACGAGTTTGTGATCATAAGCTACAATGTCTAACATTTATAACGTCTTTAAAGTTCTACAAGCAAAATTTAATATTACTTATTATTTTAATATTCCTTAGGATAAATTTGATCAGTTTAATGTTATTTATTATTGTATTATGGAGTTGTTTTTTTAATGTTAATATATTATGGAGTTGTACTATTATTCACTATTGAGTTTTAATATTGTTCATTATATGTGATACTAAGTTTGAACTTTATAGGAATTTTTTCTATGCGGTACTAAATTACTTATATATCTTATCTTTGTTTTTTTGGTCAAGCTTATATATCTTGTTCATCTATATATATAAAGCAAAAGGTAGAGAATGGTGAAACATTCAAAATACCAAAAAATGCCATTGGTTAATTCAAATATTAAGAATTGAAATTATTAATTAAATG